TGGGAGACACCAGCAGTACAAGTGACAACCAGGAGGTGAGATACTGAGACACAGACCTTGCCCCATCTCCTGGGCTGCCCCCTTCAGCTGCATTTAGCGGTCCAGAACACTTCTGCCATGAGCACAGTGAGGGATGGAGCCAGAGGGGGGTTTTGCCTCTGCTGAGCAGAACTGAGGCCCAGCACATGTAACCCTCAGAACCAAGCAGAGGGGATTCCTTCTGCACCAGAGAGTCCCCAGGAGGGTGTCACCCAGCCCTCTGGATGTGATGCTTCAGGGTGGGTATTTCTGCTAAATCTGGAGAAGCTGAGGAGCAATCCTGTGTTGCATGTGTGTTCTCAGGCAGACAGCATGGACAGCCTCAGGGGTGAGTGGTATCAGGAGTGGCAGACTGGGGAGCCAGTTGCCCTCAGGGGGCTGTGTCAAGGAGAGGGATTTTGGGGCACCATGGGACACCAAGATGGATGGGTTAATGAAAGGGGAGAGGGGTGCCATCGAGTGCCCCTTGGGTTGGCTGGCAGAGGCTTAGGCTATCAGAGGGGGTGGGAGGAACCTGCTATTGCAGCTGGAGATTAAATGCTTTTCCCTGCCTTCCCATCCTCTTCTGTCCTCTTCCAGATCTCCGGCTGCAGCTGCTGGATGTGAAGAACAACCCCTACCTGATCAAGGCTCTCTATGGCCTGCTGATGCTGCTGCCCCAGAGCAGCGCCTTCCAGCTCCTCTCCCATCGCCTGCAGTGCGTGCCCAACCCAGAGCTCATGCAGACCACGTAAGTGCTGGGGGATGGACCAGCATCAGCATCGGGGCTGGATCAGCTGTTCCCCACAGCTGAGCATCCCTGCCATTCCAGGCTCAGCCCCATGCTCTGGCTTTCTCCCCCAGCTCCACTGTGGCCGTGGTTGCTCCTTGTCCCCACGGCCGGGAGTGTTGGCCAGGGGGGTTTTTTGTGTCTATATTTGGTAACCCTGGGAGGGCTGTGCCTCATCCACAGGCATTTGGCATCCGGGATGGAAAATTTCACTTGTGGAGTCGCTATGGAAACGAGCAGAGCTGGGAAGGAGGTTTATGGAGAAAGACTCCAGCAGCTGGGGGGGGGGGGGGGCTCCCAAAGCATCCCCCCTGCAGCCTGGACAGCCTTCACAGCACCCAAAAGGGGCCTGGCACCCTGCTAATGCCTCCGGATGGCTGCTCCATTCCCACTCCTGGCCTTTGGGGATGCGTGAGATGTGCAAGGGCGGCATCTCCCTGGGGACCAGCTGAGATCCTCATGCTCCCTGCCCAGGGGTGCTGCCAGTGGGATTTGCTTTCCAACCCTTAGCTAATGAGTAGTGGGGGGCCTTGATGATAAAGCTGCCTCTGCCTTGGCACAGGCTGGGAACAAAAAGAGCTCCCAAGATGGGCAGGTTTCTGAATTAACCCCCTGCTGCTGTTGTCGCTCCTTGGCTTTTAACTGCTTCCCTGGGATGGCTTTTATCCCTCATGGCCTCCGGCACTGAGCTCCTACCCACAACCCAGCACTGATATTTAATTGGGGGGGCGGAGAGGGGGCTGCATGTGCTTCCCCCTCCTTTTTTCTCCCCACTAACCCTGGCAGTGGGGGTTTTTCGAGCTGTCAGACAGCCTGAGCATCTGATTAACTCTGACCTACATTCCTTCAAACACCGAAGCCGGCTTTCATAACCGGCCAGTCCCAGCTGCCCCCTCCCCAGGGACATACCAGGGCCACCAGAGCTGCCTGCCGTCTTCCCATGGGCATCCTGTGGCTGGTGTCTGCTCCTTCCTTGCATGGGGACAGCACAGGGGTGGGTATCCATGGCTGGAACCCTAGGGAGCCTGCATTTGGAGCCATGGGTGCTCATCCCTGGGGACTGTCCCTGCTGCCACTGGATGTTTTTTGCTTGCTTAAAGAAGCAGACATGGAAACTGAGGCATGTGGCCCTGGCATCCTTATCTCACTGGTTTTAACTGTAATGGGTTGGGATAAAGAGGAATATGTGTCAGAGGAATTAAACCTCCCATGTGGGGCTAAGATGCAAATGTCCCTTGTCCCCTCCTCGTCCCAGGACCTCTTGGGCTCTATATCTCACACCTTTAGAGGAAGAAAATATATCTTTGGGGGTATTTTATGAGGCACCAGCATGACTAGGATTTGCTGAGCTCAGCTTCTTCAGGGTAAGCTTTTGGTACTGCCAGTGCTGGATGCTCACAGCACCAAACATCCGCATCCCCTTCCCACCCTGCAGGGACAACACCAAGCCCAGCACCAGTTTGAAGAGAACAGCAGCCTGCAACATCGACTACATGGAGCTGCTGCAGCACTTTGAGAAGGTCCAAAACAAGCACCTGGAAGCCAAACACCAGCGAGCCGGGCGGGCAGAGCAGCTGGACCGGCGGGTGGTCCTCTGAGCACCCCTGCGGCCGCCGCGGGTGTGCACAGCTGCTGGGGCAGGGACCAGGGGACACAGACCAGGGGAACAGACCAGGGAACAGGCACACCGGTTGCTGGCCACCGGAGGATCTGGTGGGTTTAATGGAGATGGGCGAGAGCTCCACACAGGGCTGGTTTTCCCCCCACTGTGTGTATGGATGAGGGGGGACCCTCAGGCTGTGCCCAGCTTTTCCTGTGGGTGCTGGGGGGACATGGGGAAGGGTTGCCCGAGGAGAGGGCTGGGGTAAAGCACCTCATCTTCCCTTGCAATGGGGCGAGGGAACTTCCCTTTGCTTTGCTAATGCCTTCCCCATGACTGTCAGCTGAGCACCCAGCCTGCTGCCAGCAGCACCGGAGGAGGGGAAGGGAAGACGGGAGCAGCCCCTGGCCTTCCGCCCTGGAAAACAAGCACCGGGGCCGCCAGCCACCTCTCACCACCCTGACTTCCACCCTCTGGTTCCGAGGCCCTGCTGGAGGTGGCATCTCACTCGGGGAGACACTCCTGTGCCTGACACTTGCCCCCCTCCCTGCATTCACACATCCTCTCTGAGTCCCCGGCTCTTGGCAGGGACAAATGCACAGCTTCAACTCCCAGCCAGCACCAGGGGACATGGGGAGCAGTGGACCTAACCCCAGACTCCATTCCTTGTTCCTTCATTAAGCTCCCCATGATAAAATAAACAAGCAATGCAGAACAGCCCATTCCTTGTTGCTGGGCTTCCCATCATAGTTTTGTTCCCAAGTGAAACCAAAAACACAGCAAGGGCAGGGGATGGCGTGGAGCGTCTTGCTTGACCCTGTGCCCTGGGCTGGCCCAGCCCTGCCACGTTGGCTTGCCAGCAAGCAGAACTTCTCCGCCTGTTCTTCTTCCCAGCAGGAAAAAAACTCCACTGAAATTCTTCCAGGCCACGGTCACGAAACCACAGCACAGTGACAGGCATTTTCCTGGCCCTGAGCAGCTGCTGGCGTTGCCTTCATCCTGTCCTGTGGCACCCAGGGACCCCAGCACGTGCCAGGCTGCTGCAGTCTGGGGGGACACCATTGCATCCCCTGCATGGTTCAGGCCCTCGCTTGATCCCAGGAAAAGGGCAGTTGGAGGAATTTGTGGAGTTTTTATGGCTCCTGGCCTGTTTACAGGGAGGACTGTCTCTGGCAGTGGGTTCCCCAAACAGCCCCATACCGGCGCTGCTTTGGCCAGGATAAAGACATTCCTGTCATTCCCGGGGAAGGGCTTTCCAGACCCAGTCACGGTGGGTTAATTTTAACAGCCAGCCCTCAAGGATGTGTGAGCAGTGGCTTCTCATGCCAGCTGGTGTCTCAGGGTGCTGGGGGTACCTGTTGCTGAACCCCTGGTCATTATCAGTGTGGGCCAGGGTGGGCTCTGCCTCATTCCTACTGAGCTCATTACTGCTGAGCAGCCTCTTTCCACACTGAGGGAATGGGTTTATGGAGAGAAATTCCAGCCGGCTGCTGGAGTGCTGAGCCCTAATTGTTTCCTTATGGGTGGCTCTTGACCAACACCGTCCAGAGCAGTGTGGGCATCATCAGCATGGGATCAAGACTACTTTTTTGGCAGGAGGGGGAATAGGTGACTCAGGCTGAAACCCTTGCCCCGCTGAGCGTCCTTGCACTACAAGGGGTAGGAAGGTTTGTCGGGTTCAGCCTGGCACCCCCAGATCCCAGGAGGCTGGGGCTGGGGCCTCGGGATGCCTGTGGGAAGGGTTTGTCTGCTGGCAGGCCGTGCATTTCCCATGGCTCCCTGATAATCGAGTGCACGGACACATTTCAGAGCTGTCGTGTAACTACTGCAGAGGGAGTTCACTCTCCAGCACATCTTGAAGGGTCAGAAAGGCGATGGGGGTCAAACACCCTTTGGGGAGAAGCAAATCTCACCCGGTGCCTCCAGAGGTCTGGGAATGCCCCTGGGCATCCCATGGCATCTCCAGGTGCAGTGTCTTCACACACTCCCTGGGGCTCTCCTGCTCCTCACCCAGCACCCCAAGGTAATCCCTGGGGGTTCCTACACCGCCCCGGGAGCAAACCCCGATGCTGCCTCCACCAGTGCCGCATCTCCAGGCATCCTTCGGGTCTCCCTCCGCTGTAGTCCCGGTGCACGCGGTGTTGCTCCCAGGCCCCCCCGCTCAAGAGCATCCCCGAGAACCACCGGGGCTGCCCCGCTCCCCGGCTCCGTCATCCCTGCGCGTCCTCCGGGTATCCCGCAGCGGCTCCGGGAGCATCCCTGGAGCTGACCCCGATCCTCCCCCCGCCCGCAGCCCCCGGCCCGCGGCGGGCGGCGCATGTGCCGCGCAGCGCCCGCCCCGCCCCGCCCCCGCCACCGCCCCGGCCGGAGCTCCCCGCGCCCCGCTCCGCTCCGCGCCCCGCGCCGCTGCCAGGGGGCGGCGGGTCCGTGCAGCACCCGCGGAGGGCGAGGGAGGGAAGGAGGCAGGCAGGGGGCGATGCCCCGCCCGGCTCCGCCGCCGCTCCGCCGCTGTGCCCCCCCCGCCGCCGCCGCCGCCGCCCGGGCGCCGCCCGCCCCCCGCCGCCGCTGAGCCTGGCCCGCCGCCGCGGCCTCCCCCGGCGGCGCCGCCCGCCCCGGGCTGCCGCAGCGCCGCGATGGAGACGGCGGAGAAGGAGTGCGGAGCCCTTGGCGGCCTCTTCCAAGCCATCATCAACGACATGAAGGTAGGGGATCCCCCCCGCGCCCCGGTTCTGCTGTCGTGACAGCGCTCCCCCCGCACCATCCCCCCATCACCCGGCTTCCCCGGGCAGCCCCCGCGCTGCCGCCGCCGGTGCCCGTCCCGCGGTGGGTACCGAGGCTCTGCTGCCCAGCCGCGAGATGGGAATTGGAACCCCGCATCGGGTACCGGAGCCCGAACATCAGCCCCACAGCGAGTGTCGGGGTCCCACATCGGCTGTCAGAGCCCGGCACGGGTTCCCAGAGCCCCACATCAGCCCCTTACTGGGCATCGGAGCCCTGGAGATCGCAGCCCCCCATCATCTCTATATCCAGCGTTGGATATTGAGCTCCATGCTGGGGATTGCAGCCCCACATCGTCCCCAGATCCGTCACTGGCTATCGGAGCCCCGTTCTGGGTGTTGCAGCCCTATATCTGCCCTGTTACCCTTCACTGGGTATCAGAGCACCATGTCGGGCATCAAGGTCTCACACTGGGTGCCAGAGCCCCGCATCAACCCCATAATAGTCATCGGGGCCCTGCATTGGGCATTGGAGCCCATCCTGGAGATCCCAGCTCCATATCAGCCCTGTATCCATCCCCGGGTCCCTTGTTGGGTGACACAGACCCGGCATCACTGCCCCTCGCCAGGTACCACTGGCCCCACACCGGGCATTGCCACCCACTTCGGGCATCATGTTGTCCCTGTCCCTCTGCCCCATGTGAAATCCCTGGATTTCTGTCGGATCCAGTGGGGTTGACACCAGTGGAACAAAAAGGTCCCCTAGCTCCTTGATCCCATTTCCTAACCCGGGAAGAGGATATTGCCTCCACCCTCCCTGGGAGCAGGATGGGGCCATGTTTAAAAAAACCTTTTTGTTTGTTTGTTTTCATTTCAAAAAAATACAGTAAAAATGCTGGGGGGCATTTCTGACCAGGGGCCGAGTGGGGAGGAGAGGACCAGCCATATTTCTTCATCTCCGGGGACGAAAATTCCCACAGCCAGCTCCAGCACTGGGGTTTAGCCCTAGTCATTTTTGGGAGGCAAACGCTCTCTTCCTCCTCTTCCTCCTCCTCTTCCTCTCTTCATGCTGCAGACCCGTCCAGACAATGCTGTCATTGCCAAAGCAGGGGAGGGGGGATAAAAAAAAAATAAAAGCCTTGCTGGGAAGGAGATTAACCCCTTCGAGGGGCAGTGGTGGCTCTGCAGCCGGACTCTGGCTCAGGGCTGGGAGAAAAGCTCCAGGGAGAAAATCCCAACTCTCCCCAGGGCAGAGGGATCCAGGGCTGGTGCAAAATGGGTGCTGGGGTGATTGGCTCCCTCCCTCAACCACCTTCACCCCAGCCACCCTCTCCAGGCAGCCTGGCTGAGTCCCACACTCCCAGGGGGGAGGTGGGGGCAGCCCCTGCCTCAGTTCCCCCATTCCCCTGCTGAGGGTTCAGAGGGGATAAGCCAGCCCAGAGCTGTCACCTGCCTGGGAACCCTCACCTGGGGAGACTGGGCTGGAGTCAGTTCATGCCATTTGAAGGTAGGAAGGATTAAAGAAAAATTATGAAAAAGGAGGAAAACCCCACCACACTACAGCTGGGCCTCAGATTGTGCCCTGCACAGCCCCAGCCGAGTGCCAGTGGCACCTGAGGGTGTGCTGTCCCCTCTCCCTGCCATGTGGGTGTCCTGGCACAGGCACTGGGGGACAAGTAACTCTCTGCTTGAAGAACTACTGGGATTGTAGGGTAGTGATGTGCTTGTGGTCCTATGGCTGGGACCCCTGTGCTGGTCTCAGGGCACAGGGACCTTATTTTGGTGGTGGGTGCCTATTTCAGCACCTCTTGGCCTGTGCTGGGGAGAATTTGTTTGTTGGTGACAATCCCTAAGCTGGCTTCATTCCTGTTGCCTCTCCTCGTGTGCTCAGTGTCCCTGAGTGACCTTGGCATGTCCTTGTGCCCATTGTCCTCTTCCCCATCCTCCTCATGCCGGGCATCACAGGGATTTGGGGGCATCTCAGTCTGCTCCCTTCTACAGGGGAGCCTCAGTTGCCCTGCCCAGGGTGGCCAAGGAAGGTGGCCCAGAGCCAGTGGCCCAGGAATGGTGGCCCAGCCCTCTGGCAATGACAGTCCCTGGGGACCCACAACCAGGGGGTCACTGCCACAAGTGATGTGTGAAGTGGTACCCTCAAACCCTTTCTTTGCTGGCTTATGAGGAAATTGGAGCTTTCATGGTCCCAAAAAATGCTGGGCTGGTCTCATACTGCCTCAGTGCAAACCTTGTCCCCAAAGCTGCCACAAGCCATAGTGCCCATGGGGATGTGTGGCAGTGTACGTGTTCCAGCCTGGTGGCTGCCCTAGGGGAGTTTACAGATGCCTGTCACTGCCATTGGATGGTGACACCAGGACAGCACCTGGATTTTGTCACTGGGACAACAGGACCAGGATTGACCTTGCTAGGAGAGCAGCACCAGCATGGCTTCCCCAGGATGATGACACCAGGACTGGCCCTACTGGATGGCTTTGCTGGGATAGTAGCACTGGCACCAGCTTCACTGCAACAGCACTGGAATGGCCTTGCCTGGATGGTGGCACCTGGATAGCTTCACTGGAATAATGGCACCCGTACTGGCCATGCAAGGGTGACACTGGGATGGCCTTGTCAAGACAGCATCAGGATTAATCTCACCAGGACAACATGGACTGGCCTTGCTGGGATGGTGACACAGGGATAGCCTGGCTGTATTGAGGATCAGGATCAGCCTTGTTGTGATGGCACCAGGATGGCCTCGCTGGGATGGCGCTGCAGCTGGCATTTCTGGGACAGTCCTCACTGGCATGGCAGCAGCGTGGTCTGCTGGGACTGGTTTCACTGGGACAGCGCTGAGATAGACTTGTTGAAACTGGCACTGGGATGGCCTCGCTGGGATGGTGGCACTGGGACTGCCCTGGGATGACTCCCCTGGAACGAATGGTTGCACAGGACAGCCCTGGACCAGCCTCACCACAAGGGCAGTGGGGATGGTCCTGCACAGATGGCCTTGCCACGATGGCACCAGAGTGGCCTCATTGGCACAGCACTGGGGTGGCCCCCCAAGCACCTGTGCCCTGTCCCTGTCCCCACACAACTGCCCCATTCAGGGCTCTGGGGACCCCAACCTCCCCTCCTGCCCTGTTAGTCCTTGGGCTCAGGGGAGATGGGGACTGGGGCTCCTGTTTTGGGACTGGAGCTCTCCGTGATGGTGGGTTTGAGGGGGAGCTGCTGCTGGGGGTGTCTCCTCTACTGCTGGCCAGAGTCTTAAAGATTTTTCATTTCATGCCCTCAATGAGGAAGAAATCACTCAAAACCCTGGGATCTCCATGGTCTATAAGTTTGGGTGGCCAGACTGGAAAGGGAAAAAATCAGGAGGGAAAAAGAGTTATGCTCAGCCTTTATTAGCTATCAGAGAAGCTGTTGAGCTGCCCTCTCTGCACCAGTGCAGGAGGGACCTGCCCTGACTGGGGAAGCAGTGCAGGGGGTGAGGGTCCCTGTCTCTCACCATCACCCTTCCTCCTTGCAGAGCTCCTACCCCATATGGGAGGATTTCAACTCGAAGGCCACCAAGCTGCACTCCCAGCTCAGGTGAGTGGCCAAAGGGGGAGTGGGACATGGGGGGATCCCCCTCCTCGTTGGCACATCCCAGGTGTCCCACAGCCACTGAGCTCCCCTCGCTCTCTCTGCCTCAGGACCACGGTGCTGGCCGCAGTTGCCTTCCTGGATGCCTTCCAGAAAGTGGCCGACATGGCCACCAACACCCGAGGTAGGGGCCTCTCTCCTGGGGGTGGGCGTCCCCAGGCTTGTCTGGGCAGGGGGACAGGTGGAGAGTGTCCCCCTGGGGGTGTCCCCTGCCCACATTGCCGGGGTGGACTTCAAGCAGCAGCTTCACCATCCACAGAGAGATGTCCAGCCTGTTCCCACACCAAGGTGGAGCATTCCCTGGGAAGCAGCGTTGGAAGGATGGAGTGGGGAGGGGGAAGGAGGTGGGCACCCATGTGGGTGCTGCTCCTTACCACCCATGGGTGCTTAGCCACATTTTCCGGTGGGGCTGGCACACTCAGGGTGGCTCAGCTCCACATCAGGGTCTTCTGCACCCGTCTCTGCCCCCCAGGATGCAGAATCCACCTCGCTTGTCCCTGTCCCCTGGAAAGTTCCCAGGGGGTCCCGGCTGCTCCAGGGGTCTCCAGGGAAGGGGAATTAGCTAGAGGGAGATTCAGGAGTCCGAGCTTCACTGTTTTGGGGACGAACCCTAACTCACCAGGGAGGTGACTGAAGAGCCAAGGCTGCGTGTGGGGTCCCCCATACTGTTGGGGAGTGAGGGGGAAGGATCCCCGGACCCTCTCTGGGTGCCTGCTGGCAGTGAGGAGCCACTTCCCACTGCCTGGCTTCTGCCAAGCAGATGGTCCCGGGCTGGTTTGCAGACTGGCGGCATCCAGGCCATCTGGAGCCACGCAAGGAGGAGGAGGAGGAGGAGGTGGAGGCAGCAGCTTGAGCCAGGATCAGCTTTGCCTCCAAACCCACTAGCCCACTGCACCAGGGGGATTAGGGCTCCTCCAGCTCCCTGTCAGCCCAGGCAGTCAAAGCAAGGAGGAGGCACAGGAGCAATGCTGGGGACAGCTGGGGACCAGCACCACAGGAGTCAGTGTCACCCTGTAGTGCTGCTATACCTGCAGGGCTTTTTGGGAGGGTGGGCAGCAGAGCAGCACCGTGGGGAAACTGAGGCACTGGGTGGGGGCTGGCTGCTGGCCTTGCACACAGTGCATGAGAATCGGATTAGAAGCAGCAGGAGCTGGGATAAGAGCATTAGGAGCTGGATTAGGAGACTACCCCAGTGTAGGAGAAGGCCCATGGGTTCCCCTATTTCCATAGCACTGGGAGACTGAGGGACATCCAAAACTCCTACAAAGGACTGGGAGGTTTTTTGGGGGGCTTTTTTAGGGGAGGAAAGACTGAATGTCACTCCTTAGTTTGCACCCAAGGATTTTTGATTTCCGTTTTTCGTGGGAATCGCCAGCAGCACTGCCACCATGTGGCCATCCTCAGGCTGCAGCGGTTTCACCTAAAAAGGATGCTCCTGCTGTCTGCTGCTGGCAAATATCCCCCCAGGAGTCTGGACTCCCTTTTTATCCACTCGTGATTGTGCCTGGAGGTGTGGGACAGAGCTGGAACTGGAACTAAGCCAGGGTACCTCATCGCCTCCCTTCCCTGGCCCCTCAGAGCCAAATTTAAGACAAACTGGGAAAATATGGGAGCAGGTTCGAATTTCAAAGCCTCCAGAAGAGATATTTAGTGTTTCATGTATTAGTTAGTGGATGATGCTTTATTTATTTATTTTTTGGATTTATCGTGGGAAAAAACCGGCCACCCCCTGCCTAAATTGTCCCCATTGCCCAGTGCATCCCAGTGCTGATCGTCCCTGTCACGAGCCACCTTGCTCCCACTGTACAGACTGGGCTGGGACTGGTGTGGGGGTGTCCCTGCCCCCCTCAGCAGCACTTTGCTCCCCCCAGGTGCCACGAGGGACATCGGCTCGGCGCTGACCCGCATGTGCATGCGGCACCGCAGCATCGAGGCCAAGCTCCGCCAGTTCACCAAGTAAGCAGGACCAGCAGCAGCTCCAAACCCTTGGCTTGGTGACACAGCCTGGCCAGGCTCATTGCCTCCCTAAGGAGGAGACGCTGGGTGCTGGCTGGGCATGGATGGGGAATGGCTCCCCCCTGGCTCCAGCACTCTCCCACACTCTGCTTCTCTCTCCCTGCTCCAGTGCCCTCATGGAGAGCCTGATAAACCCTTTGCAGGACAGGATTGAGGACTGGAAGAAAACTGCCAATCAGCTGGACAAGGACCATGCGAAAGGTACAAGGGGGACAGGATGGATCTGTGCAGGGTGGCTGCACTGCTGGGCAGGGTCCCCTCTGACAGCACTTCTGCACCCCCAGAGTACAAGCGAGCACGCCATGAGATCAAGAAAAAGTCCTCTGACACCCTCAAGCTCCAGAAAAAGGCTCGCAAAGGTGAGAGGGGGTCTCCTGGGGGGTGCCCCCGCCAGCCCCTCCGCAGCACCCCCAGCCAGGGCCGGTATCCCGGCTGTGGCACTGCCAACCGGGGGTGGGCACTAGGGGGGTCCTGCTGCCCCCCTGTAGAAAGGGAGGTGCCAGCACGGCCCGGGGGTGGCGGGGAGGCGGGGCATGCGCCCCGGCCTTCGGCCTCTTTTCACACGTTTTCTCTGTCTCCTTCTCTCTTCCCTCCCCTCCACATCCTTCCTGTAGAGCTACTTGGTAAGTGAACCGCTGCCCCCCACCACCGGCCCCCTCTCTGCTTCCTCATCTACTCCCCCCAGTCTCCCCAGCCTCTGTCTGTCTGTCCGTCCGTCCATCCACTCCCAGTTCCCACCCTCACCCTGCTTTTAGCTTAGCTTAGCCTGCACCCCCTGTCCGGAGGCAATGCCAGACTCACCATGTGGCAGCCCAAGGGGTCCTCTGGTCCCAGGTGCCAGGGATGGGGATGGGGTGGCAGAGAAGCCCCCTGCCCAGGGCTGCTGTGGGGTGAGGGTGCTCCTGGACCTTCCAGGGCGATGGGCAGAGTGGGAGACCTATGGTATGTGCTGGAATGTGAGGATGGGGTGCTGTCCCCAAGCTGGGGGAATGGCCTCAGCTTGGCAGTGGCACCGCCAGCAGCCTGGGGAGGGTGTCAGGGGAGCCCAGGGCTGACAGTGCCCCATCTCTCAGGGAAGGGGGACCTGCAGCCCCAGCTGGACAACGCGCTGCAGGACGTCAATGACATGTACCTGCTGCTGGAGGAGACGGAGAAGCAGGCGGTCCGCAAAGCCCTCATCGAGGAGCGGGGCCGCTTCTGCACCTTCATCACCTTCCTGCAGCCCGTGGTGGTGAGTGCTGGGGGCTGGGAGGGTCAAGGGTTGTTCCTTCTGCCCAGTGGATGCTGATGCTCTCTCTTGCCTGTCCTCAGAATGGGGAGCTCACCATGCTGGGAGAGATCACCCACCTGCAGGGCATCATCGAGGACCTGGTGGTGCTCACCGCTGAGCCCCACAAGTTGCCCCCTGCCAGTGAGCAGGTCAGTAGGGGCGAGCCAGGGGTCAGGGGAACAGGAGAGCATCTTTGGGGGGACTTAGACCCCATCTTTCCTGCAGGTGATCAAGGACCTGAAGGGCTCTGACTACAGCTGGTCCTACCAGACGCCCCCATCCTCGCCCAGCAGCTCCAGCTCCCGCAAGTCCAGCATGTGCAGGTATGGTGAGGTGGGCTCCCCTCCCAACCACAGCCGGGAAATCCAGCCCGCTTCGTTAACCTCAGTGGGTTAATGACGCTTACAGCCTTTGGGGATGCTCACAAGGTGCATGTCCACCTTCTCATGTCCATATGGGCAGGTGGCTCCCACTAATATGGAGGAATTGGTCTTGGCGCACTGGGCAGGGCTGGTGGACCTATGGGGCAGGATGGGGGCCCGACACATGCCCTGTCCTCCAGGGTCTGGGGACAATGTGTGCCGTGCATGGGTGTCTGAGGCCAAGCATACCACCTCTGTCATGTCCCCCAGCCTGTTCCCTGCCTCAGGGCCACCCCAGGAGGCAAAGGGACACCCCCAGGAGGACTACATGCCTCAGTTTCCCCAGGCTGGGATGTGTGGCAGGGCGCTGGCCATCCTGCCACCTCCAAACCTCAGTCTTAAATTCTCTTTTCCTTCCTTTGTCCTGGCCACCGGCGTGTCCCCGTGCCCCCGGCGCCCCCCCAGCAGCGTTAGCAGTGCCAAGGGTGGCATGGCGTGGCCCGGCGGGGCTCAGACCTGCTCACCCAGTTCCACCTATCGCTACCGCAGCCTGGCGCAGCCCCCCGCCGCCGCCACCCGCCTCTCCAGCGTCTCCTCCCACGACTCCGGCTTCATCTCCCAGGACGCCGCTTACTCCAAACCACCTTCCCCCATGCCCTCGGACATCACCAGCCAGGTACAGGGAGGGTGCTCTGTGCTGCCAACCTCCATGCCTCAGTTTCCTCTTCCATAGAATGGGTGGGTGGTGCTGGCTGCAACACAAGGGTCCAGTGCAGGTGATGAGACTCACCCTCAGAAATATTTCCATCTGTGTGGGCATCATGGGGAATAAATACTGGGAATATTGAGGGTTCCTGCTATAGTTGTGGGCATCCTGGGCCACACGGCAGAGAAACCCTATAAATTAATTCCCTCAGGGATGGGGCATAGATATCCCTCTCCCTGTGCCAAGAGAACAGGGTGTTTTCCAATCACCACAGCCCCATAATACCCAGTTTGTGCCACCCCCCACGCAGCATGGAGCAGAGCTTCCCCTTCATGCTGCACCATCCCCAGTGCCAAGGATGCTTCAGAATCCCCAGGGAGTTGCCATTCCCACCTGTTCATGCTAACCTGGCATCACCAAAATACTCTTGGCTCTGCATGGCTTGGGGTAGGAGGGGAAGGGTTGGGGCAGTGCATCATGCCAGTTCTTGACCCCGCTGCCAAGGTCACATCCTGCTCTCCATCCTGCAGCCACTGCCAGAGGGGAGGAGGGCTGGGGGCCTCGCTCAGCCAGGGAGCTGTGGGTGCTGCTCTAACCGGGGTCATGGCTCTGGCTTTGCTTGCTAACTGCCTCTTCTCTCACCCTCCGGCTCTCGGCTCGTCACGGCACAGCAGAAGTCCTCCAGCTCGGCGTCCTCAGAGGCATCCGAAACCTGCCAGTCAGTTAGCGAGTGCAGCTCCCCCACCTCGGTTAGTCCTTGCCATCCCACCAGGGTTGCATTTCACACCTGGTTCCCCCCTCACTTCATGGGACCCTCCCCTCCCTTCCTGCATGGGGCAGAGCATCCTGAGCAGCACCCGTGCCTTGACACGGGGGACATCAGCTTGAGACCTCTCCTGCCACGCTCCTGCTCCCAATGTCACCAGCATGATCCGCATGCCTTGCCCGTTGCAGGACTGGTCCAAGGCCAGCCCCTATGACCAGCCAGTGGTGCCCACCCTGCAGCGGCGCAAGGACCGCGTGGAGCACCTGCGGGAGGCCGAGATGGGCTCTCCTGCCGCGGGGTACCCGGGCGTCGGTGCCGAGGATGCTCCCAGGCCCCGGATGTCACCGGCTACAATTGCCGCCAAGGTACCAGCTGTGGCAGGGAGGGCACAGAGTGGGGGGCTCCTGGGGACTCCCGGAGGAGGAACCAGGGTGCTGACAGTGCCCTTTGCCCCAGCAGCATGGGGAGGAGGTGTCCCCTGCCGCCAGCGACCTGGCCATGGTCTTGACTCGTGGGCTGAGCTTGGAGCACCAGAAGAGCAGCCGGGACTCGCTGCAGTACTCCAGTGGCTACAGCACGCAGACCACCACCCCCTCCTGCTCTGAGGACACCATCCCTTCCCAAGGTACTGGCACTGGGGGTACCTGGGACCACCTGAAATGGCACTTAGACTAGGGAAGGGCACAACAGAGGGGTTTTGGTGGTCCTGGGGCACATTGCTGTGCTCTGGGTGTCATAGCATCAGGCTGTGGTCATACTGTGTAGGGGCTGGTGCCACAAATAACCACAGCTTTTCCTGGTTATTTGGGTCTTAGCTGGGGCTCAGTGGGTGCAGTTGTCCAGGAAGTGCTGTAACAGCTGATGTGGTGATGTGTCTGTGCACAGAGGTTGAGTACAGGTGGAGATGGTGGCAGATGGTAGGTGGTAGGTGATGGCAACAGAGTCGCTGGTTGGAGATCAAATAACCACATCTATCATGATGTTGGCATGATGATGGCTGAGCCAGTTATGAGCATGTGGTGGTGGCAGTGGGGACTGGCTGTGATCATGTGGTGATGGCTGTGATTGGGGCGGTTGTGGGTTTGGTTGTAATTTCAGTGTGATGGCTGGCGTGACTGTGCTTTCCTACAGTAGTACGTTTGTGTTTGATGGTGAGCATGGACAGTAGTGGTTATGTGACAGTCGTGGCAATTGAATTTGGTTGTTGTGCTGTGGTGGAGGAGGCTGGGGTTGACTTTAATGACGTGGTTGAGCTTGGCTACCACTGCCCCCCCAGCCACACTGATGGTGCTGCTCCCTCCCCAGGCTCCGACTATGACTGCTACTCGGTGAACGGTGACGTGGAGTGTGACCCCCAGAGCGATTTCGACAAGTCCTCCACCATCCCACGCAACAGCAACATCGCCCAGAACTACCGGCGGATGATCCAGACCAAGCGTCCCGCCTCCACGGCCGGGCTGCCCAGCGGCACCAACCTCCCGGCCGGCAGCACCCCGGGGGTGGCCACCATCCGCCGCACACCCTCCACCAAGCCCTCGGTCCGCCGTACGCTCTCCAACGCCGGCCCCATCCCCATCCGGCCCCCCATCGTCCCCGTGAAGACCCCCACGGTGCCCGACTCCCCTGGCTACGCCGGCCCCACGCGGGTGGGCAGCGAAGAGTGCGTCTTCTATGCCGACGATGCCTCCCCGAACCCCCTGGATTTTGCCAAAGCTTCGCCCAAGCGGCTGAGCCTTCCCAACACCGCCTGGGGTGGCGGTGCCATGGAGATCTCTGTCTACCCCGGGGCCGGCCAGCACCTCTCCGCTGAGGAAGAGGAGGACCAACAGTTGGCCGCCAACCGGCACAGTTTGGTGGAGAAGATTGGGGAGCTGGTGGCCGGCGCCCACGCCCTGGGGGAAGGGCAGTTCCCCTTCCCCACCGCCCTCGTGGGGTCCGGCCCCGGCGAGGAGACCCCTGCGCCGCCCCCCGCGGCCTCCATGGACCCCCCGGCCGAAGACATGCTGGTGGCCATCCGGCGCGGGGTGCGGCTGCGCAGGACCGTCACCAACGACAGGTCGGCCCCGCGGATATCGTGATGCCACCCCGGCCAGGGGGACGTGCCCGATGGACCCCGGGGGCACCCGCTGCCCCTCCCCAGGGACCCCCACCCGCCGGCACCCGCTGCCCTGTCCCTCTCTGCTGCCCCTGCTTCCTGCCCCTCTGGCTCCTCCTGCCCTGCCCTCTCCTCACATCCGTCCTTCTCTTGCTCTCTCTTTGGTCCTCTTTCTCCTCTTTTTCTCCTCTTCTTTTTCCTATTTACTGTTTTTTTTCTTTTGCCTTTTTTCTTTCTTCTTCTATGTCACTTTTCCTTCTATTTTCTTATTTTCTTCATGTTCCCATTTTTCTCCTTTTCCTCTTCTTGTCCTCTTTTACTTTTCCTTTCTTTTTAACTCTTTTTCTCCTCCCTTCTATTTTCCTATTTTCTTCATTTTCCTATATTTCTCCTCTTCTTTTCCTCTTCTTGTCCTCTTTTTCATTTCCTTTCTTTTAACTCTTTTTCTTTTCATTTCTTTTTAACTCTTTTTCTCCTCCCTTCTATTTTCCTTTTTTTTTTTCCCCCTTTCCTTTTTTCTCCTCTTTCCCTTTGTTTCTCTTTTCCTGCTCCCCTCTGGCTTTCCCTCTGCTGTTTCCTTTCCCTCGGGCGCAGGCGGGTGGTCCCAGCCGCAGCAGGAGAGGACGGTGCCAGCAGGGCTGTGCCAGCCGTGGAGCACCAGAAGCACCAGGAGTGGGGGCCCTGGCCCCATTCCCCCCAGCCGCCTGCTTGGGACCAGCACAGCTCAGCCTCATTCCAGGGGGCAGAAACAACGGGCTGGGGGTGCAGGGGGGGAACAAGAAGTGGGGGACATGTGAGAGGGTTGGGGGGCTGGGGGCAGAGGCACTGCAACCCCCTCTGTCTTGGGGGGACACCAGGGGCAGGGGCTGAGGATGCTGAACCTCCACTTTGCCCCTCCTCACAAGGATCACCTGGGACCCCCCACAAACCCCCCCACCCTCGCTCAGCACCCACAGACCTGTGCAGGGTTTGCTCAGAGGGGGCTCCGGCACAGGAGGTTTGACTCAGCCCCCAGGCAAAGCAGCTTCTGCCGGCGGCTGGAGGAAAGCACAACCCCGGCCCCGCTGTACATAGCCCCCGCCCCGCTGTCTGTCGCATCGCAGCCCCCCTGCCCTCCCCCTTAGGAATAACAGTTTAGTTCTGCCCCTTTCCCCTTCTCCTGCCCAGAACCGCTGAGGCCAAGTGACAAATGTTTGGGTTTGAGGGAGGGGGGGGGTCTCTTATTTTGTACAGAAAACAAAAATTCTTTGGAAAAGAAAAAAAACCTGACCTGTCTTTCGACTGAAGTAACTTTTCTGGTGCTGTTGTTAACTTGGTCCTTATTCTTTTCTTTTTTTTTAATTTATTTTCCCCCCTCGTGTTCCCGCCTCTGCAGCCGCTTCCCCTCTCCCCGTCCCTCTGCCACCTTTCTTTCTCTTTCTTTCATTCCGTCTTTTCTTTTAATTTTTTTTTTCCTGGTGGTAATTCCCCTCTTTCCCCCCCTCCCCCGTTTTCCATAGTCACTGCTACAAGTAACGAATGCACTGTGAAGATTCCAGTATTAATAAAGGTTGTACTGTAATTAATAGCCTTGCCTGTGCTCCTGTGGATTTTCTGGTTCTCTGGGGTCACCCCAGTCATGGGGAACAGGCGAGAAGGCACCATCACCCTTTGGGGCTCCCATGGCTTGAGGGGGGTGGGTGCTTTGGGGTTTGGAGGAGTGCAACAACCCCACGGTCAAGGTGATGGGTGACTCCGGGATGCAAAGAACACCCGGGATGCAGAAGAACATCCAGAAGAGGGGGTGCAGGCGGTGTCCCCCAGCTCCACCCATCCCAGCAGCGGTGCCACCTCCCGGATTATCGAGGCCGATTGCCAAACCCCGCTGGGGCAGCGCAGCCGGCCGTGCAGAGCGGCGGGGATGGAGGGGCTCAGCGTGGGCAGCGTCCTGCTGACCGCCTGCGACGGGGGGCTGGGCCTGGGGCTGCTCAAGGGATTGCTGGAGCTGCCCAGCCCTCCCCGGCACATCTTCGCTGCTTGCCTGGACCCCCAGAGCAAGGTAGGGAGGGCACCGGCACGGGGGGGACAGGAGGGAAGGGGGGGACGGGAGGGAAATCAGCTCGGGGATGGATACTTGGGGATGCCACAGTCCCACCTGAAATTGGGATGCTGAGTGTCAGCATCCTGAACGGTGAATGGAAAAAAAAAAAAAAAAAAAAAAATATATATATATATATATGTGTGTGTGTGTATATATGTATATATGTGTATATATATATATATATATATATATATATATATATATATATATATAAACCAAAAACACACATATATGTATTAAATATTTAAAATACCTATATCTGTATTAAATACCCATGTATTTATTTTGAGTCTCTTGGCACAGGTGTGTGCATGATGGGGAGTGCAGGGGGTTGCTGGCAGCCCCGAGCCCGGGGCATCCCTGCGGGAGCTCTGAAGATGCCCCGCTCAGACGGGCGCGGAGGAGGAGCAGCGACCGCCCCAAATGGCTGCCCCCGGATCTTGTTGTGACCTGTCAGCTGTGACATGAGGGGCCACCCTGTTCCCGGCACGGTGCAGCCCCCCTCCCCTTCCATGGGCTTCCCCATTGACACCCCTCCCCCGTTTTCTCCACCTAGGCTGTTAACGAGGTAGCTTTGGGCTTTCCCAACGTCAGGATCTTGCCTCTGGGTAAGTGCTGGGGCGGGAAAGGGATGAAGCTTCTCAGGATTTAATTGCAACCGTGGGTGGCTCCAGGAAATGCCACCAAGCAGGTGGGTCCCTCGGTTTGGCTTGGCTGAACCAGGTCACTGATGGGACCAGGAGGATGCTCAGTTCGGGAGTTGCCTCCTGCCACGTCCCACAGCATCTTGCCAGGATCATGGCCACCAGCCTGTCCCCAGACCCTGCTGTCCCCTTGCAGATGTGACAGACCCCAACAGCATCAAGGCTGCAGTGAGGAAGGTGCAGGCAGAGGTGGGCAGTGCTGGCCTCAACCTCCTGATCAACAGCAGCGGCACCACGCGCCGCAGCACCGTGGCCACCGAGACGGCCGAGAACATGAGCCTGGTCTACACCACCAACACCATTGGGCCCCTGCAGACCTGCCAGGTGAGGGGGACACAGCAACCCCTGCCCCAGACACGGGGAACAGGGAGGAGGAGGATGGGGATGCTGAGGTCCCGTCCCCTGCAGGCCTTCCTGCCCCTGCTGAAGGAGGCGGCCGAGGCCGAAGGGCAGCGGGAGATGAGCTGCAGCAGAGCTGCCATCATCAACATCTCCAGCATCCTGGGCTCCATCGAGGTTGCAGAGGCCTGGCAGGAGAGGCAGGACATCTGCTACCGCTGCAGCAAGGTACTGCCCCTGGGCATGGGCAGGAATTTGGGGTCATCTCCTCGGGGATTCCCCCCGCACTGGCCCTGGCATTGCCAGACCATGATGGTGAGGAGGGGGATTTGTGCTCCCAGGCTGCTCTGAACATGCTCACCAAGTGCCTGGCCCTGGAGTACGGGAGCAGCGGGATCCTCTGCGTGTCTGTGGATCCTGGACATGTGACACCTCCCTTGGAACAGGGGATGGTGAGTGGTGGGAGGTGCATGGAGTCCCAGCTCAGCAAGGTCCCAAGGGTACCCTGGGCATTCCTAGGGGCATCCTTTCCCAGGAGCATCCCTTCCCAAAACCATCCCTTCCCAAGGCCACCCCTTCTCAAGGCCACCCCTTCCCATGAACATCCCTTCTCAGGGTCATCCTTTCACAAAGAAATCCCTTCCCAGAAACATTCCTTCCCACAGACATCCCTTTCCATGGGCACATCCCTTCTTCACAGGGTATTTATTCCCATGGACATCCCTTTCCCATGAACATCCCTTCCTGAGGCAACCTTGACCATGAACATCCCTTCTCTGGGCACCCACAACTGTGCAGTGCCTTGGTCCCACAGTGGCTGTGCCATCACAGCAAAAGGACAATTCCAGGCACTCCCCCAAACATCCAATTTGCTCCCTATTTTTCATTTCCTTTCCCATCCTGATGGTGTGTCAGCAGAGGGCACCCTGGTCCTGCTGTCCCTTACCCTGCCCTGGCTGACAAATGAGTCACTTTTTAATGAGGGATGAAGAAATGAACCTCCATCCTTACAGCACTCAAATGAGGGACAATAAATTTGTGCAAAGCCTCATCCCTTGGCTGCTGGAGCATCCAACTGCTCCCAAACCAACCCAGCCAGGGCTGGCATTCCACCACGCCAGGGGTGGGATTGGGGTTGTTGGGATGGAGAATCTTGGCTCACTTTTTCCCTTGCCCTGGGTGTGCCAGGGCCCGGTGACGCTGGAGGAGAGCGTGAGGGGTGTCCTGCAGCTGCTGGCCCAGCTCTCAGCCACCAACAACGGCACCTTCTGGGACTGGAGAGGGCAGAGGCTGCCCTGGTGAGAGCAGCGTCTGCACACTCAGCTTAAATAATTAATTAAAGTGAATTAATTGCCTTTTCCAGGCTCACTCTGAGTCGGGGGGGGGGGGGGCAGGATGGGCAGGGGAATGAAACAGGGATCCACAGGTTGGGGGATGGGAGTTGGATTCGCTGCCCCCCTGGCCTGGGATGCTGATTTGTGCCAGGGCAGCATGAGGAAGGATGCTCCAAGTGTGTCCTGAATCCAAGGCATCCCCTGGGGCCAGGAGAAGCCCCTGGCTATCCTCACTCTGGGCCACAAGCCATACTGCTTATGGGGGCATCCCAGAGAGCCCCCAAACTCAGCCCCTGTCCTGCTGAGCCTGCCCACCCCAAAACCAGCTGGGCTTTCCATGCCCACCCCAAAGATGCTGCCAGGCATTCTTCCTGCTGGTTCAAGGCCAGCAAAGGTTCTTCCTGTTCCAGCAGCTGGGGGGTTTCACAGCAGGAGATCTCCCAAGTCTCAGCATATGCCTAAAGATGTGTTTTGAGACCTGGGCAGGACGTCCTGGGCTGACCTTCCCTGAATCCATCCCTCATGGTGCACCAGGAGATGCTGTAAACAGGCTCCCATTCTTGATGCTGTGAGTGCTTTCCTGTAGAGGCTCTCAGCTGTCATTCTTGAAGCCATCTCCCAGAAGAGGGATCAGAAGAAAATGCACAATATCTCAAGTGGGCTGGACACAGAGATATTGCTGTGGGGATGCTCTGGGAGGCTGGGCAGGGTCACTCTGCAGGGACAGCTTCAGGTTCCCCACGGGGGAGGAGGATGAAGGATCATTCCCATGTTTAACAAAGGGGAGTGGGAGCTTGGGGCTCATCTCCAAGGGGGTCCCTGGACCACACAGGGCCTCAGTTACAGCCAGCACGGATGGGAGACAGGTCCCTCTAGTTAAAGCTCTTATCAAGCAGTGGATCTACTGGTGAGTTTTATATGAGCTCTGTGTGGGCTTTATATAAACAGGAATCATCACTAGGCATGAAGGGAGGAGGAAAAGGAGGAGGAGGAGGAGGAGGAGGAGAAGGAAGACGCTCCTCCACTCATGCTGCAGTGCCCATTGACTCATGAGCCGAAGCCATGAATACACCAATTAAGGTCTCTAATAGCTGATGAAGGTAATTAACTAAGCTGTGAAGGGGGGAGGCAGCCCCAGTGCCTCCAGTGTGCCGCCTGCCCCACGCCACCAAGCACAACAAACAAATCCAGATGTTTCCTTGCTGGGGAAGCAGCCGGGGCTGACAGAGGCAGCTTGGCAGGGTCCCTTTGTCAGAGTGAGGGAGGTGGCTGACACCCCAAAAGAGGAGGCAGTGGAGGCAGTGGGGTTCTCTTTGCTGGTCCTTTATTTTGGGTAAGGCTGGAGGCTCCCAGGACCCAGTCAGAAGCTGAGCTGCAATGCTACAGAATTAACTGGTGTTTAATCAAAGCTGAGGAAAAAATACAAGTGGAGAGAAACAGGGTGGTGCCCTCACCTGCCCTGTGGGCAGGGAGGGCTGTGTGTCCCCCCAACAGCTGCCTGCCACAGGGGGCTGTGTCTGAGCCCACACCCACGCAAAGGGTGGCAGACATTTCGGATGGACGAGATCCCACAGCCATAAAAGTCCCACAGCTCTGGAAAGGGTTGTGTTTGGTCCTGGAAGGAGTGGCATTTGTCCCACCTTTGGGGCTTCCTTGGGAACCCACCATGGGGCTCTGGGAGGAGCAGAGCAGAGGCAGCATCCAAGGCTCCAGGGCAAGGAGGTGTCCAGCGAGGGGTGGAGTGAGGGGTGTTCCACAGTGTTAGGTGGATTCCCACCGACCTGAGCAGAGGGAACAGGTTCCATGGTGTGGGACAGGGCGCCCCTGTGCGGCACCTGCGTTCCCCAAGGTCGGGGCCCCCACCCTGACCCCCAACTCACAGGGCACCCCGTAGAGCATCCTCATGACCTTGAGGCAGTTGTCCAGCAGTGCCTTGGGGCGCACAGCCTTGATCCGGCTCTCAGCGCCCGCGCTGTGGATCAGCTTCACCAGATCGGCCACCACAGTTTCCACGTCTGTCTGCAATGATAGATCACCAGGATGTCACCAAAGTGCCCCAAAGGACAGCAGGGTGCAAAAGAAGACAGCTGTTGCATTGGCCGGGAATCGAACCCGGGCCTCCCGCGTGGCAGGCGAGAATTCTACCACTGAACCACCAATGCCAGATGTGCGAAGGCATTGAACGCTCCCCACACGGCCCCACCATCCCAAATCCAGCAGAGTGAATGCAGTGAGGGCGGGCAGTGCTGGCTGTGAGCACATCACACACACAGACACAAGGGGCACCCCAACACTCAGCTCTGACACCGCGGCTCCAGCCCAGGGAAGCGCCTCCTCTGCTGCCCCACCAGTAAGGAGGGATTGTCAGCAGCCCTCTCTGTTACCCTCTGATGACAACCCAGCAAAGCTCCCTCTCTCCACGGAGGGGCTGCACAGCCTGCTCGTGGCACAGGACAACCCAGCCACACTTTGGGTTCACACTGGCGACCCAGCTGTGACAGGCCACCCACATCCAGCACCCAAACACCTCTGCCTTGGGGTGCAGCAGCACCTCTCAGCCACAGGCAACCCATGGCTGCATGGAGCCCAAGTCAGGTGGAGGGGCTGGGGGCTGCAGAGTTAAAGTCAGGACACTGAGCTGCACTGACGAGGAAGCAAACCCTGGCTTTTGAGGGGGAGCACAATAATTGTCCCACCGAACCACCTATGCCAGATGTGGAGCTGCCCACAGCTGCCATCTGCCTCCCTGGCCTGGGCACCCGTGACACGAACCAGCCCCTCCCACTGCTCCTAAGCCGGGAGCTTCACTGCCACCGACATAGCACCCTTTGCTGTCATTGAGCCTCCCTGCCACCCAGCCGAGCTGGTCATTCACCAAACCATCTCCTCTTACTGTTCCTGGTACCACCGAGCCAAGGAGATACTCACTGCAGGCAGAGCTGCTGCCACCACCTGGGGCCTGAGCACCCACACACACTGCCGAGTCGACCCCGAGGGGAGATGCAGAGGGAGCAACCTCTAGAGATGCCCAAGGGAGCACCCACGGGAGCGCCTCTGCAGTATCCCATGGGCACCCGGCAGCCGCCAAAGGACAGCAGGGTGCAAAAGAAGACAGCTGTTGCATTGGCCGGGAATCGAACCCGGGCCTCCCGCGTGGCAGGCGAGAATTCTACCACTGAACCACCAATGCCAGATGCAAGCCCTTTCCCAGCCCTCCCCCAAATTCCCAAACCAGGGCAGGCCCTGTCACCCTGAACACCCTCATTCGTCATCCCAACACAGCTCTCATAACCCGCCTCCAACCCACGGCAACTCCTCTTCCAGCTGCCTCACATCACCTGCAGCAAGGAGGCCTCAGCAGCCCTCACTCTTAACCCTCTCATGACACAACACAGCAAAACTTCCTCTCTTCACAGAGGGGCTGCACAGCCTGCCCGTGGCACAGAACAACCCAGACACACTTTGGATTCACTTGGTGACCCAGCCGTGACAGGCCACGCACACCCAGCACACAAACACACTGTCTCGGGGTGCAGCAGCTCTATCAAGGCAGCAGAAGCTTAGGCAGAGAGGCAGAACCATCACCGGGAAAATAGGGATGAACTCATGGGCACCTTCTGCCTGATCCCCCGCAACCGCCGGCCTTGGAGGTGCCACCCCGTGACGGAGGTCGGTGTGTGTGACAGTCCCGTTCGCCCCTGCCCAGGACAGCGGGTCACCCAAGGGGGAACGGGTTGCAGGCAAGAAAAAGATGCAGCTGCTGCATTGGCCGGGAATCGAACCCGGGCCTCCCGCGTGGCAGGCGAGAATTCTACCACTGAACCACCAATGCCAGATGTGCAGTCAGGCTGGGGCACTGTCCCACGGCCCCGCACCCCAGCCCAAATTTCTGCCCTTGCATCCCGTCCCTGTCGGCCCCCACAGAACCCACACACAGGGAAAACCTCCATGCCCGTGTTGTCCCCTCCTGGGGGCTCAGTGCGTGTCCTCCCAGCACACAAATGCCAGACGTGGGGTGCCAGGGGGATCCTCACCTGCTGGTACTTGCTGTACTCCTTGCCCAGGGCATCAAAGAGCTGGCAGAGCTCCTGGGTGTATTTCCAGGATGGATGCTTCTCTGGCAGCACCTCACGGATCCGCAGCACGGCCTGGGAGCTGACATGGAACCAGAGGTACCGCAGAGCTGCCTCCGACACCGTCCCGTTGCGCTGGAGGGCAAGAGGGTGAGAGCCGTGCAGCCCCCGCGGGTCCCTGGAGCGCTCCCATCGCGGGACTCTCCCCTGCCACCCTCTTACCAGGCGGGTGATGTTGGACGGCCTCAGCACCTCTTCGTACTGGACCTGGACTGTGTAGTCGATGGGAAAGTAATGTTTCTGGAAAGGCAAGACAGAGCATGGGGGCTGGCAAGGGGCAAAGGAATGGGCACATCCTTGCCAGCCTTAGTATGACACTGGGGAGCCAGTGAAAAAGCCCTTTGATGTGGTCAGGCCCCAGCAGGAGTAGCCCTAGGCACAATTTGGCATAAATTGTCCCTGGTGAAAAACACAGCACCCAGCACCCAGTCACTGTAGAGCAGTGGGTGCTGCCCCTCACCCATGACCCCCCTGCAGCAAATTGAGGCCCTCCCTGCAATGCCAGGTGTCCCCCACCTCCCAAAGCTGGGGTTACCATGTACTGCAGGCGCATCTCATACTGCAGCTTGTCCTGGAGCAGGCGGGTGAGCTCGCATTCGCCCGGCGCCGCGGCCTCCAGCCCCAGCACAGCCAGGACACCTGGGCAGCCAAAGCCAGTGGCATCAGCCCCCTTAGGGACACCCACCGAGGGGACTCCTGAGGCCATCCCCCCTGTGCCCCAGCTGTACTCACATAGGACGGCAGCGTAGCCCTGCTGCATGTTGATGGCGGCCATCAGTGGAGCCCCAGGCTGTGCCTACATGGCTGGGGCTCACCGGGAGCCTCCAGGGCAGTGGCGTGGATGGTGTGGGGACAAGGGACAGGTGTAGGCTCCGGGCACTGGCTGCTCTCCGGTAGCCCCGGGCAGTTGTTCCCTGCCATGGATGGGGGGTTAGTCCCCCTTCCCGGCAGTCCCCACTGGCTTCTCCTCTCCAGCTGCTGGCAGGGAGGCAGCAGGTCCGGGGCCGTCACAGGGTGTTGGCAGGGATGTGTTTGCAGGGGTACAGGAGCACCCCCGGACTGCAAGAGGGAATCTGGGGGAAGAGAGCCCCAGCTGCAGCCCCAGGGCAGGCAGGGGCCCAGGCTGCAGCCCCCAGGCAGGACATCCTCTCCGAGCCCCGGGGGCCACGGGGAAGGGACAGCCCCGCCTGAGCCTCGGGGGGCCATCGAGCCTTGTATGTCTCCGTCCTCTTGGGGCAGGGCTACCAGGGCTTCCCTGATGACACCCTCAGGGGATTTCCAGGGAAGGAGGGGAGTCAACCCAGCCCCGTTATCCCAGAAGTGATTAAGTCCGGCCTCAGCCGAGGAACGCTGGGGGACAGGGCTGGTGAAATGGCCAAGCCACCGCATGCTGGGTCCCCGCACAGAGATGTCGTGTCCCTACACCCCTGCGAAGGGGGCCCTGCCATGCCCCCGCGCTCTGGAAGGAGACCATAGCATGTCCTTGTGCCACATGCCCCACAGCGTGTCCCCTTGCGAAGCAGGGTGTGGGTGTCCATGTGCTGTCCATCCCAGCACAGAAGCGGCCCCATCTACGTCCCCACGCCATATCCCGGTGCCAGAGAGGGCCACGCTGTGTCCCCACGCGATGCCATGTCCCGAGGGAAGGCACCCGTGCCCTGTGCCGTGCCGTGCCCCCACGCGAAGGCGCCGCGCCGTGTCCCGGCGCACAGTGCCACCCACAATCCCCACTGGAGGCACCTCCGTGCCGCGTCCCTGCCGTGCGTCCCCAGGCGGGCACGGCCGGCTCGGGGGGTGCGTGTGCCCCGTGCCCGTCCCCGGCGGGGCCGTGGCTCCCGGCGCCCCCCGCGCCCCCCGCGCGCGGCTCCGCGGACCCACCTGGCGCGGGACGCGTCCACCCGCGGGCGGCGGCGGCGGCGGGGCCGTGCCCGCGCTTCCCGGGAGGCGGGCGGGGGGCGGCGGCGCGGGCAGCGGGCGGGGCGGCGGCCGGGGCCGGGCGGGGAGCGGGGACCGAGCGACCGCCCCGCACGGCCCGGGGAGCGTCCGGCCCCGCTGCGCCGCGGGTGCTCGGCCGGCCCAGCCGGGGGGTGCCCCGGGGTACGCAGGGAGCCCAGGCTGGGGTGTCCCCAGGGTGCTTGGCTAACCTTCCTGGGTACCTCCCTGCTCCTCGGGGTGCTTTGCTGCCCCAGCTGGGCGTCCCCAGCGTGCTTGGCTGACCCTCGAGAGTATCTCCCCCTGTTCCAGGCAGGTGTCCCCGGGCTGCTCAGATGCTCAGTTCACCTGGCCAAGGTACCCCCCAGCGTGCCCAGCTCTTCCAGCTGAGCATCCCCAGGGTGTCTGGCTCATCCTGTTGGGTCCCTCCCTGCTCCTCGGGGTACTTTGCTGCACCACACCCTGCGTGCTGGTCTAACTGTGGTGAATGCCTCCTCCACTCCTCAGGGTGCTGAGCCGTCCCTGCAGGGCGTCCACCCAACCCAGTCAGGTGCCCACATAGCCCCTGGGGTGCCCAGCTGACTACTCTGTACTGCCCTAGGCACCCCTGGGTGCTCTGCTCTGCCAGCACTGGCACCTCTAGGGTGCTGGGCTCTCCTGGCAGGGTGTCCCAGGGCACTTTCTGCACTTAGCACCCATGGGCACGTTTTGGGGCAATCGAAGTGGGAGTCAGCCCAGTGCCTTCCCAGGATGTGCCCGGGGAAGGGGCTGCACTGCAACACGAATCTCAGAAGGGCTGAGGTATTCTAAGCTGGCTCCAGGCCAGCAGGACTCTGCTCCCTCTGACCCAAGCCCACATCATCCTCTCAGGATGCTTCAGGGCTGAGCTCCTGCCAGGAGCAGGGGCCAAGGGCCAAGGGACATTGTCCTCCCCATCATCCTGAAGAGCCCCTTGGAAGAGCCACTGTGTCTGTGCTCAGGGCTGCTGAACATCCAAAGGGTCAGCAAGAAAATCGGCTATCAAAGAGTGGGTCAGTGCTCCCAGGGAAACGCGTGGGAAGGAATGCACTTCTGCCTGTGAGAGCGCGCTGGGATTCCCCTGGCATGCAGTCAGGGCCACTGCCGCGCTCCTGCCAAGCTTCCCCTGCTCCTGGCCAGTCTCAGGCACGGCCCTTGCCTCCCTCCCAAGCACTCGTCGGGGCCGAGATGCTCAGCTCTGAGCAGGGAAGGAGCCGCTGAGCTCCTCACTCAGGTGTCCGCAGGGATTTTGCCCGCGGCTGCTGCAGTCGCTGGAGGAAGCCATTTAACAGCATTCCCTGCCCACGTATTCATCAGCCTGGCAGCCGGGATGGGGTGACGAAGAGAAGGGAGAGCGCGGAACTGCACAGCACCGTGCTGGGGGCGGTGTGCTCTCCCTGGCTGCTCCGGGGCTGGAAATCAGCGCTGGAAATCAGCGCTGGGATGAGCCCAAGGCAAACAGCTTCCCGTGCACAGCCCCGGGAGCTCTGCGCCCACACGGCAGCTGCAGGGGGGAGTTCGCTCTGAAACCTTCCTTGTCCCAGTGAAAGGGAGCTGGGGGCTCAGACAGCTCCCCACAAGCCACCAGGCTCCTTATGGCTGGGAATGGATGCCCCTAGGCTTTGCCTTTTACTGGAAGCAGGTTATTCACCAGGCACAGTGGAGCAAGTAAAACCTTGTGCTTGGAACCAGTTTGGGAACATCTCAAGACACGCCCCCCCTCCCCCCCCTAGCTTTCACTTTCAGGACACCAGCACGACAAATACCAAGGGCCACTGGAGCTCTGCTAGAAGTGCCCTCTGATCCAAAGCATCACTCCCTCAGGGAGGACAGGGAGCACAGGGTGAGCACTTTATGGCAAGCCAGAAGCTGGACCCCACAAAGCTCAGCTCCCCTTTGCCCCTTCCTTGATGCAGCCATCCCGACTGAGGCCAGGAAGGGAGCACAAAGCCCTTTGCTCTGCCAGCATGGGTGGGGCTGTCAGAGCCAAAGGGTGCAGCGCTGTAAGCCCCTGCCAACGCAGGCCTGTGAGGTTGAAACAAGGCAGGAGGGGAGAGGAGGGTGCAAAGGACAGGGCAGGAGGGTGTGTTTGCCCTCACCCCACACAGTTCATGCACCAGAGAATGTGAAAGCTGTTCAAAGGGAACACAGGTATCAAGGATCACCCGTCCCTCCAAGCCCCGAGTGGGGAGCAGCATCCTTACCGGGATGTCACAGGCTATCAGACTGTCCCCACCAGCAGGAAGGAAGCAGGGAGTAACCCAGAAGAACCAGGAAGCACTTGCTGTGTGGGTACACTCCAGCTGGGAGCCTCTGCAGCCAGTCACCAAGCCTGTGGGACAACGACCTTTCCCCAGCCCTCCTGGCAGTCAGCTGCTGCTCCCAGAGCTGCAGCTGCTACACTGGGCAACAATGTGCAGCCATGCTCTGGAACGGCTCCAACTGCTCTTCCCTTTCTCCACAGCCTGCTTTGTGTGTGTCCCAGGGCAGCCCAAGCAGCAGGGCACCAGCTCCAGGCAGGGCAGGGGGGCAGCGAGGGGCCTGCAGGAGCACAGGGGCTCAGGGTGTGCACTTCTCTGTATTCCTCCTCCTCCCCTCCTGCTCCTGCCAGGTCAGCAGCAGCTGCCACGAAGGAGAAGAGCCCCAGCGCCAGGGTAGTGAAAAAACAGGCTTTTATTCTTCATGTGCTGCTCACAGTCACAGCTTGGAGACACTCTCTTGCCAAAGTTATTATGAAACAAATCAAGTCCCAGACTCAGGCCTCGCTCTTCCCCACCCCCAAGAGAGTCAACATTGTACAAAACTCTATTTACAGGGAAAACAGTCAGAAATGGAGAGTCCAAAAAACCCCCTTGCAATTCAGAAGAAAACGTTCAAGACAAGTGTGACAGTTACACCCTCCACAGCCAGCTTCCCATTGGCTGCTCTCTGGACTAGTGTAAGCCCAGAGCAGCTCACCACCGGCTACTAAAAGAGGAGCCTGATAATCCTGAACCATGCCACAGCTCTTTCCTTTCCTTTCCTAAAATGCTGGGAAATCACAAACCCCACTTGGCCCAACAAAGACTCGGCTGGATCTGCCCTACAGAACTTTCAGCAAGACCCTGAAGGACTCCCCCATCCAAAAGTGAGGACAAGGAGATGGGGCTGAGGGTCAGCTGGAGGCCCTGCTTGGGCACTTCCCAAGAGAGAACTGCTCTGGCCAGAAGCCGGAATGTCAGGAGCCTTCACATAGGCAGCGGGATGTGTCGGGAAACCTAATGGCTGATACTGTATTTACTGGAGTCACGTTACTTTGAAACACAAACCAAGAGGACCAAACCAATATTTGAAAAGGGGGGAAAAAAAGCACACATTCCTCCTCTGGATGGTGCCTGGAGGAGCACCCAGAGGAGCCAGGAGCATTTCTGCCCCTGCCAGCCGCCACTCAGAACGCGTAGCGCGTGCGGATGTCCTCCAGCTTCTTGGACACCTCGGGTGGGGTCCGGTCCAGCTCCTCGGCCACATTCTTCTGTTTGTTGGGCTCCATGGAGTTGAACTGCTCACACAGGTCCCCATCAATCACGTTCTGGAGGGGCAAGGAGGAGAGAACTGAATCGAAACCACACAGAGGCACTGAACCCTGCCTAAACAGGGAAAAATGGCCACAAACAGTTTGTTCCCAGGAGTTTCTTAATCCTCTCCTGGAAACAAGACCATGCTTGGTGACCTCATCTGCTGAATAGCATCACATTAATTACTGGCCAGCTTGATTAACGAAACAGAAACCCCAAAGGCCTGGGTGCTGCTGAAGAATCAGAGAAGGGAAAGGAAGAGAGATCCGCCTGTGTCTGAGCCCTGCACTGGGAAGGCTGGGAGAGGCTGTGAGTGATGACAAAGGCAGCTTCAATCAAATGGGAGCAATCTTTGAGGCTGTGTGTGTGGCAAATCAGCCTCAAGCTCAGAGACCACCACACTCCACTCCTAAAGAGCTTCATCTGCTGGGACAGTATTCTGACGGACTCCAGACTTGTTACTCTGGTAGTAGCTACCACTGGGATCCGTCTGATCAGAGCATTTAGCAGTTCACAGCTTCTAACAGTTCCTCAAAAGCAGAAATAGGAAGGAGCAGCTCTTTCTGAACTTGGATTTTCCTTTCCAGTGGTGGTGGAAAAAACATAATCCAGGGCAGCAATCAGTTTGATCCAGCCACACCAACAGCTATGTAATGCTGCTTCTCCCGGTGGAAAATGGAGATGCTGTGGGAAGTAGAGAAGTGCAGCTACAGCACCTCTGGGCTTGGGTCTTAGGATCAGCCCTCGGGAGGCTCATTACAAGAGTTAAGAAGCCAAAACAGACATGTATTAAGTGCTAAGTACTGTTCTCCTACCAGACTGCTGCTCAGGAGCCAGCTACCACAGGCACCACACAAGCCATTACTGCAGTGCCTCAGTTCTCCCTACTAAACAGCAAGCTTGCCTTGTACAAGACAATAACCTTGCCTTGCTTCTGCCAGCCTCAAGGCAGCTCTGTGCCCCAAAGCACCTCTCTGCACCCCATGGCCAGGTGACCCCACGTGCTCAGGGCTCACCTTCACTGGGAAGTAGTAGGAGCGGAAGCTGAGATGGTCCCGTCCACAGAGAGGAGGGTGCTCAGACCGTAAGTGCATTTCCACATGCTGGAAGAAGTCGTGATCCTGGCAAGATAAAGGATTGATAAGAGAACAGTTTGGTACACATCAGTGCTGCTAGCAATGCAAGACAACACCCATCAGAAGGTGCTCCTGCACTGGCTGAAACACTGTCATTACATGGCCATTTAGGGTTGGATGAGATGATCTTTTAACATCCCTTCCAGTCCAAACCATCCTGTGGTTCTGTGAGTAACAGACTCTGCCAGAGCAGCCCTGCACATGGCAGCCAAAGTCACAGCTACCCCCTCACCACTTCCACCTGGAAAGCACCCAGGGCAGAGTTAAGCAGCCACCCTGGTCAGGATCAGCCCCCCAGGAAATGTGGCATAGAGCAGCTGTGCAGCATGGAGCTGCAGCTCCAACAGGGAATGTCTTGGCATCCACAGCTCCAAGAGGCCACAGCAAATAGAGCACAGAGTACCATCCTCAGGACTTGAAACACCACTGCCTGATCAACAGTTTAGAGGCTACACAAAGCATGCCAAAGGACTCCTCCCTCCTCAGACACTGAATCACCCAAAGCCCCTTGAAAGCACAAACAGACACAGAACAACAGTGCAACAAGGAATGCTCTCAACTCTTTACAGAACCAATGCAGAACTCAACAAACTCCTTCTCTTCCCTTCTGCATTGGAGCCACAGGCTCTCCTGTAGCTCAGGTTTTCAGCCACTGTGGAGCCCTCCAGGGAATGCAGCACATTTAATCCACCCATACTGGCTGTGAATGGGTGCACAAAAAGCAGCAAGACTGCAGCCTGATGCTTGGGCTTGCTTACCTCATGGGAAGTAAAAGGGACCAAGATTCCTATTCCCCCTGATAAGGTTGTATAAACAAGAGATTCAGAGCCTCCTGGAATCAGTGTGGTCTTCTGCAAGGAAAGCACCGTTTCTCCCACGTGGTAATTCATAATCACTTCAGCCTGAAAGGCAAGCACAGAAGCATGTTTTTTCTTTAGCTTATATAAAAGCATCAAAGGGCTTGAGAGAGGAAAGCAGAATAAATTCAGCCAACTGCTAGTTCTGAAATGCCTTTCTAGAGAGGAAGTGCCTTCCACCTGTGACCAGATGGCAAAACTCAGCTGGACAAACGGATGCAAGTAATGAGAGAAAGCAGCAAAAGAAAATGAGCTGCTTCCCTCAAACACACCAAATAGGCTTCAGCTGGGATTTCAGAAATTTGGCTTGCAGCAACAGTGAAAACAGATCGCCCACAGCACAGCAGATTGCGTAGAAGCAGAACTGCCAATACATCTCCTGGACAACACTGCAAAGGCCTTCACAGAAAAGCAGTGCTTTCTTTTCCTACAATAACCATGTGCTTCCCACAAAGTATTACCTTCTGCGATGCTCCATTAAGCAGGCCCCTGTCCCAGAGAGCTTTGTTGCCTGTGGGATCCTCATCTACCTCATCATTGGTGTTGGGAGGCAATCTCACCTGTGTTGAAAGAGGAAGGAAGAATCAGCAAGCTGCAGAGAAGCAGCACATTAACTCTGGAGAGCCCTTGTGCTGCCTGAAAAGCTGTCTTTGTGGACTCTGCAAGAACCACTTTATACTTGGAGCAGAGTCATCCAGGTGCCTCTCCAAAGCAGCCTTTACAGTTATATAACAACTGTGATAACAAGACCAATAACCCATCACGCAGAAACATGGGCAAGGCCTCACACCCAGCCTCTGCCTGGCCTGGCACAGATCACCTTGGGAGGTAAGGTCAAACTGATCTGAAGGTGGTTTCCACTAAGGAAACAGTTTGATGGATGTGGGGCAGGAAAACTGAAGAGGATTGATTTGTGTGTCTTGGCCCAATCCTGCAGGCGCAGCATCTGACACTTGCTGAACTCTGCACTCCAGAGCACCCGAGCACGCTTCAGAGAGAGATCAAAGCTCTGCCAGAAAGACCATCTATTCTTTCCTCCTCCCTTGCTGAAACCCAGCCAAGTGGGGAAGTGTTGGCTGACAAAGCCAACTGTGAAGAGGAAGTGACAGAGAAAGCTCGATGCCAGCTATGAGGTTTAGTCAGAAAAAGTAAGAGTGATAACCCTGACTCAAGTTCTCATGGGCCCTTTCACAGCAACAATCTTCTTTTCAAGGTTTACTGACAGGAAGTTTTGAGGCAACATAAAAAACAAATTACTGGCTACCTCAGAAATATGTTTATGACTTGCTGATGCTTTAACTTATTTGCTTCATTCAACAAACAGATAAACTCCAGCCCACTATGACAGAGCCACCCCAGGAAAACAAGTCAATGGTACAGGGCGTTGTCTCCAGCTAATGACAGATTCTCATTCTTTCAAGATAAATCATGGATGTTTTAAGGGAAAATATGTCCAAAAAGCCCCAACTTCAGCAAAGCACACTCACCACACAGATGTTACCAAACTTGTCTGCCCCAGCCACAGTGTCGTAATCCAGGAGTGTTGCTGTGGTGACCCACCGGGGGTAAGTGTCATCAGCAAAGATAATGAGCTGGTTCTCATTCCTTTTGTAACGCACCCAGATGAAACTCTCCTGAACATCTGAAACAATCACTCTGTGCCCAATGGTTTGGATCCCACAGATGTAGTTGGCAATGTGCTTTTGAGAGAGAAAGGACAAAACCTCAGTGCTTCAAACAGGGAAGTATAACTCTATTCCAACTGAAACACTCTTTTTTCCTCTGTGAACTGCAGCTCACTCCCCACTTCCCATCATTTCCTCCAAAAATACCCTCATTTCTGCCATACTACTGTCCCACTCTAAATACACCATCAATACAGGGTAACCTAATATGCACCACATGGCATCCACAGCCTTCTCTGTATGAACACTGTCCAGGGAACAAGTGCTGCTGGTGAGCCCATGACTGGAGATGCCAGGACATCCTTACAAGCAGGCATTGCTTCCATGTCTCCTCACTACCTCCTCATGGAAGGCCCAAGAAGGAAAGCTTCAATTTTTCATGTGAGTCATGTTTTAGGGAAAAAACCAAACTAACAAAACCACACAAACCAAAAAAAAAAAAAAGCTCCCCTGCAAGTTCCCAGTCTGTCTGTTAGCTTGCTGGAGTTCTTTTGTGCAGTAATGAGCTACTGGCACAGGTTCTGCAGCTTGCACGAGAGAGGGAGGAGCAGGCAATTAAGTTAGAAAATCATGCTCTGCAATTTCTTTTCCTAAAGTACCAGAGATGCTCAGCAAGAAGGACCATCCACTTCAAGGAGAAAATCCCCTTTTCAGCATTCTGGGATCTGATGAAGTGGTCATATGCACCCTCCAGCTTCTGATCACCCAAACTAATGAAACATTTCCAGCAATTCTCTTCTATCTCACTAGGACCTCTCACATTTGCAGCAGCCAAAGGAACAGTCTGTACAGACCCCTGCACATGGTCAGTAACTGAGCTGGGACAAAAAGGAACTTGCAGGACTACTGTCAGCAAGGTGATAAGAAAATGGTGTGTGTGTGGGATGCAGAGGGGCAGCACAACAGTCCAGTCTAGTGCAGCACTCCTCTGGATAGATGCACACAGCAAGGCAAAGACACAGCTTGGATGACCACACAGACACACTTGGGCTGGAGTAGCAGCTGAAGCCCGTGTTTCACTCTGGCTGCAAAGTTTTACTTGCTCCAAATGGAGAGCTCTGCTCAGAACAGAAGGCAGTACCTTGTTCTCACATTTCCGAAGTAGTTTCTTCTTGCCCAGGTCATACACACGCAGCAGCTTCCCAACTCCAATTAACACTCGGCCTTGGAATGGAGCAATGGCTGCAGGAACCTCCTCCACAGGGGTCTAGAGAGGGAAGAGGAAGATTGTGCAATCCTCATCATTAAGAGAGCTAACCTTACATAAACCTTCAGACCAGATTCAGCTAATGATATGGCTGAAGTTCACCGGTCTGTATCAAGGTTTCCAATGTAAAAGGCTAACAACAATCTTTTTCTACAGGAGAGGCAACAGGTCAGTTCCTCACAGGCCTTTTGACAGCAGCAGATATCACACAGAGATAAGAGAGCCATGGGCACTCACACACAACACACTCTTGGCAGTGCAGCCTAACTGAAGTACAGGACTACTCTAAGAACCCCATACTGGGCAGGCAGCAAAAGAAGACAAGGGTCTGGTTGCCTCAATTCTTAGTTTTGGTTTACATCCAACAGAAAAACTTTAGACTTTGCCTAAATCTACCCAGACTGTTTTTAAAGCAAAGCATGAATGTATTTCAGCCATCTGACATTGCCACCAAAGAAAGTGCTGTGTTGTGGACACAACTGCAGTGTGGACACAACTGCAGTGTGTCCACAATTTCAGTAACTCAGACAGGGTTACTGTCTGAAAAGTCTCCCACCACTAATCAATCCAAAATGATCAGCCACAGCAGAGAAGGAGAACATGTAGAGAGTTTCCAGTTACAGCATTCCTATCTTGGCTGCACTGGTTAAGAAAAGTTTATTTCACAACTTCAGCTCTGTGAGCTTCCCAGTGGGTGTTCAGTGGCAGCAGAAAAGGCCATGGTCCAGGACAGAACCCACTCACTGCATCAGGACTCTAGGAAGTGAGTAAGCCACAACATTCCTTTCCATGTGCTCATCTGCTCAAATCTCAGCCATGCTGGAAGCATGTGAAAAGAACAGTAATTTTTCTGCTGAAACTTTTGCTGAAGCCCTTGAGACCTATCAAACAAGTTGGTCACTAATAATTTCTACACACAATCAAACAGCATCCAAGGAAGATGACAGCTCACAACAGCTGTACATAGTCAGCCAAGGACTGATAGTCTTAGCATCAGGGTTCAAGTAACCCAAGGATGAATTTGCTCTGTAAACAAGTGCTTAAGCAGCTCTCTGAGCTCATATTCCAGAAAGCAAACAGAGCCATTTCCCTTCCCTCCCTAACATGAAAAACACTGCTCCTTTCCAATTTACCCAATCAGATGGGTAAAATTAAGACTCTTGCGAGATCTGTGTTCAGTCCTCAGCTCTGCAAAAGATGTACCAAATTATTATGTAGGAGGCAGCTAATTTTCTCCAAGACTGCTTCCAGTTGTAACACCAGCACAACAATCTTGCCCAGGATGCACCAAGTACTGCAGTATTACTGCAGCACTCAGCAAGTAAGAGCTACTCCAACACTCAGCCTGGAAATGACCCCATCACTCCCCTCACCTTGTGCAGGAACTCCAGCTTCTCACCACTATTCACCAGCTTGTATGTGTAGACAAACCCCCCAGCAACTGAGCGTGGGTTCAGGATCAGGTCCTTGGCGACTCCCACCAGCACGTACCACTCATCTCCCGTGTTGGAGAAGCGGCACACGGCCACGCTGCAAAGGACAGGACACAGCAGGACATCAGTGCCACCACCACACTAATGCTGCACACCCAGACTGCATCCCCGGCAGCACAGCCTGCACCTGCCCAGCAGAGATTTGAGAGTCCAACCCTTCAACTCTGACATTTCCATTTAAGAGGTCATTTTTCCTCCTTGTAGAAATGCTTAACGCAGATTTGTCCATTCTTCCACACTACACTCTCCACGTGTGTTCTATCTGTCACATATGCCCAAAGCATTTTATATTTTCACAATGCCCAGTTTACATTTTCACAAGCTGGACACTGTGTAGTGATGTAGAGAATACTAGAAGCTATTTTTCAAAGGCTGTTCCAATTGGGACATATACAAATAACTTTCCTCATCTTCCAGTGTTATTTCCTGCTCAGTAAATAGCTCAGGCAGATTGGAAATGGCAGGTCAGCCTTTTGGACTAACATGACCTAAACTCTACTTCACCTGCTGAGGCACTTGCTATTCTTCATGGTTATTGTGCTGGTTTTCCCCTTCAGTCTAACACTTCCCTTTCCATTTAATCTATCCTCAGTTTATCTGGATGAGAAGGAAAAGTGAGAGATAACAGCAAATTCTCTTGTTCCAAGCTCTCTTATCTGTCATTTACACCCCTGTGTTGTTCTCTAGGCACTGGGGTACAGCAACCACATTTGGAGCACCACAAGCTCTTAATGCCACATGAGGACAAGATTAGGGTTGGAAGGGAAGGAAAGACAAGACAAATCACTTCTGGAATTTCAAGCCAGTCTCTTGATAACATGTTCCATCTGGATTTCAACTCAGTAACTGATAAGCAAAAGGAAAAAAACACCTAGCACTCATCACAAGCATGGACTCTTGCTGCACTGGCAATACTTCTTACCTGAAAGCAGCTTCATTCTGCTCCAGCTGAACCAGATCTAATGTATTTCCCTGGATGGGGTTCATCACTCTGATAACAGAGGCCCACTGACCATTCCCTGCCTTGGGAGCACCGAAGATGGACTCAGGAAGATTCTCATTCAGAAAGGCTGCAGCCATCTCTGCAGCCAGTTCCCTCTCATCCTCACCTGCAGCCTCCACCATTTCCTACAGCATTAAGGGACAGAAGAAAAGAACAGCTCAGTGATTTCCTTTCCCAGTATGCTCATGCTCTGCATAGAATACAACCTCCCTGTTTTGCCTAAGCCCAGGTATTCTGCAGAAAGGTACTGCCAGTGAAGACATAAAACCCATGAAGTCCCAAAGCTTCCACCCAGCCTGAGCTTATTCCCCAGGGAGCCTCTACAGCTCAGAGCATGGCTGTGTCAGCTCTGCCCTGGCCCAGTGACAGTTGTCTGGGGAGCTGTTTCCCCAGATCAACAACCCTGGAAACAATTCTGAGAAGAAAATGAACAACCCACTGAAATGCAACCACCCTCAACCAACCACAGAAACCCCACAGAACAGTGTTACACAAGCAAGACTGTCCTTCACTAGGGTAGTTCTTAAAACCTTCCCTAACAACATGCAAAGGAAGGAACACTGGGAAGTGGTGCATTCTGCTGAAATTTGTGTTTTGAGGCAGATCTCCACTCCTCTTCCAGTCCCTGCATTCACACAGGCTGAAAGCCTTGCAGGTAATGGCAGCTGGGAACTAATGAGGAGGGAGCACTTCCAGCTGCAGAAGCCCCCTCAGGGGAACAGATGGGTGTACCTGTCCCCCAGCCCAATTACCTCAGCCATTTGCTGCTTCCTCTGAGCCTTGGTGGCCTCAGTGTAAGCATTGTGGTCTGTCTCGATGATGATCAGGTTGTTGCTCTCTGGGTGAATGACAAATTTTCGGGGTGTGTACTGCAAGGGGAAGGCAACCTGGTTGAAGACTGCTCCCAGCTTCTCCAGTGCCAAAATCCTGGGGGAAAAAGGCATGACATGTGTTGAATACAACCTAAAAACAGCTGTCCAAGAGAATGAAATTGGAATGGAACTTTTTCTTTGTGAAGCTGGCTAGTGCTAGAGAGTAGTACCTTTCTCAGGCCACACAGCAACTAGCACACAGCTCCAGAGAGCAGAGCAAAACCAACATCCTAAAATGGGAGCCCATGGTGTGAGACAGGTGTGTGCTGCAGCATGAGGTCTTTGAGGGCTCTTGCTGTCCCAGGATGTGTTCTGACTGGTGCTGAATCAAGTCTGTCCCAAGAGGAACAAAGAGTACATGGAAGAAGGAAAGTGCACGTTTGGGGAACACATCATCTGAATCTAAATGTGACACTGACTTTGACATACAATCAAATGCTCCTCAGAGGCACTTCAGTTAAAAAGAGTATGAAAAATGCAATGCCAGCTCTTTCTTCCTGTGACTTGCTAGCTGAAATGCCAGTTCTTCTGGCATTTGGTGTCTAAAAACCACAAGTCTTTCCAGAAAGAATGGCCCCTTTAAAAGCAATGAATGCTGTAATATTTCAATGAGGACAGATATAAAAAAAGTGCCTGTTCAAGTGCATACAGCACAGCATCTGAATTTGTGGTCCATTATTTTAATTTATCTTTTTAGTATCTCAGCTGATCTTTAAAAAAAGGCAACAAACACATCCCTGTCATGCTTCTGGTTTCTGAAATCACGTGGTTCATTTCCTGCAAAGCAGCCAATTCAGATCACAAACCACAAGACCCTAATACATAACAGGTCCACATTTATTAAAAGCTTCCCTCTCTCAGGATCAGAGAATTGAAGAGTAACTTGAATTACACTTATTTTAAAAAGCTAGAAAATACAAATCTGAGAAGCACACCCCCACTTATTTTTGACAGCATAACTTTCTTTAAATTATCTGTTTTCTGAAACCCATCCAAGTTTTTCTACCAAATCATTATCCATAATTAAAAAATATTTTTGAAGTAAAGTCACTTTACCTCTTTCTTTTTGAATGTCAGGTGGAATTCACTACTGCCTCACCTGCCTGGCATCCCAGCCCACAAGCATTTGTGTTTCCCTTCTGATGCTTACCTCAATGTGTTTGTGGAGATGGCCACAATGCCCTCAGGGCACTGCTCAGAAGCAAAGCCAGATGCAAACTCCAGTGTCTCATAAGACAGGGGAGTCAGGTGGAAGCGTGATTGATAGGAATAACTAAGCCAGGAACGGCTTGACATGGCCAGCACCTGGGAAAGACAGGCAACAAATTTATTAGGGCTGGGAATGGAGGCAAGCTCACTTTATGCAATAGGAATGCATGTACAGTGCCCAGCTCTTTCCCACTGGAACAACTGAATTCTTGTGGGTAGACCCCACCCAGCTCAGAGAACACCTGAAAAGACACTCCTTACTTTCAGTTTTTTCTGGAAATTGAATATGGCATGAAAAGGAACTTTAAAGCACTATCGAGACAACAAATAGTCCAACTGAGGTGCACTGACACCACTGTAAAAGCCATGATCTTCTCCTGCTACCTATAAAAGCCAAGACCAACAATACTCTAATTTCTCCTTTTTTAAATAGCTTGTTCTAATGGGAACAGGTCTTTTGAAATAAATATTTGCTGCTTTGTCATAATCCAAGTGCTGTAGTACCCGTAGTGAAATTTACTAAAAATCATCACAAGCCTAGACCAAATTATGAGAAAAAAGGAAGCAAATTGACTTCTAAACTTTTCAACTTTAAACATTTGGCTAAATGAGTCTCAGTGCAACCTTAGTTTCTGCCTGAGTGACAACAGCTGATCTCAAAGCTGAGAGAGATTACTCTTGGTTATTCTACAGGTATTCTCTGCTAGAGCTGCAAAGCTCCTCATCTCCAAGCTGGCAGGAGCAAGTCAAAGAGATTCACCCAGCGCACCTTAACACTACAGCTGAGCTCAAATTCCCAGATCCAGCTCCCTGCACTGATCAGCAGTATTTCTCAACTCTGAAGGTGTCATCCAAAAATGAGTCAAGCAGGGGGTGGCTGATTTCCCCAGTGCCATATCAGAAGGGCTGGAAATGGCACTTCTGATGAAACACATTCTTCCTTCTATGCCAAATCTTGCAGATATTTTCCTTGAACCATGTATGGCAGCTGTCCAGCCCTTGGCTGAGCTATTCTCAACATGCAAGGACACAACCATTCACTGCATCAAGCATTCAAGGGTAAGTTTTCTGCACAAGGGTAAGTTTTCTCTCTCCATCTCTGTGCACTACAGCAGGCAAGATGTATTCCCTCAGCCCAAGAAGCTGCTCAGACCTCTCCAAGCACACTGTAAACACAACCTAAGGGTCAGATGAATCCTAGTTCAGAGAAGGCAGGGCAGCACTACACAGCAGTAAGGGGAGGAAGAACAAGGCTGTTTGTGAAAGAACAAGCTGTGAGCCAGGCAGCTCCATAATGAAGTCCTTCTACTTCCCACCCTTACCCAGAAAGTCCTGCTGTGCTGCAGGGCTGCTTCCCCACCCTGCCCACCCATAAGGAAATCTGGGATGTGGTGCCTGGGGAGTGGATGTGCAGCCCTGCAGGAGCTCCCTTACCGCCTCCTGGCCTTGCATGCGCACACGGAAGAGTTTGACGGGCCGGGAGCCGAGGTAGCGCGTCCTGGTGTCAGACAGGTCACCGGTGACGGGGTCCAGGACGGTCCGCAGCAGCACACCGTTCTGGGCAGCAGCAAAACAACAAGGTCCAGGTTGAAGGTAAGGAGCAACTTACCATGTGCATCATTCAGAACAATTAGAGGCAGTTTCTGAAGCATTAGCTGTTTGTTTTCCTAGCTGTCGGTACAACTCTCCCCTACAGCCACACTTTTAATAGCAAAGCACAGGGCAGAAAGGATAGCCTCCAAAATAAAACAGACTGAGGACTTTAGTGTATCACACAAGCCATAAAAACCTGAGGGTGAATTCCAGATCCTCATCCCTCTTGGTACAAAGGATTTACCCAAAAACTCATGCTCCTCAAAAAGAGATTGCATTCTGACATCAAACTTGTGGCATGTGGAAGAACCTTAACTGTGATGATTATTTTTACCACATGTTGAATTGTCAAAACAACATTTTTTTGTCAAAGATCAGAGAATCTGTATTGGATGTAACAAAAAGTTGTGAAACAGCAAGTTATTGGAGCAGAGCCTCTGCTTGTGGGCAGTTACTTATTTGACACTCTGCCCTACAGGCAGTTTTTAAAGAGCTGCCCAACATTTCACCCAGAAATATTTCTTAAAATATGCTTCCTTGAATGGGAAAAGCACAATCTGTCCTACATAAATCTGGTATAATACACTGTCTTTTGACTAGTCTTTAGTCTAAAAATGTATGGGGAAACTCACACCTCTATGAAGTCACACAGCAAATTCCCCAGTCTGGGTTGTCAAACACATTGTAACAAAAGAGGGATGGCAGGCTTTGTGTCCCACTGCATGATGACAGAGCTATTTTAACAATCCACTTTCAAGCAAAAGCTCCTCAAGACAAACCTGCCAGAGCCAGGCAAGAACCCCTCACCTGCAGTCCAATGTTCAGGTACAGAAAGCCAATGGAGCCCCTCTCTCCCAGCTCATCCTGTTTCTCTGTGCCACCCATCTCCACGATGCACAGCGACTCGGGCTGTGCAGGCAGTGCCTGCATACTCAGGGGCTGTAAACAATCCTGGGGGAAACAGACAGAGGGACAACACCAGTCAGCAAGGCTTGGCATGGCAAGACAGGATTCAAGCTCCACCTAAGGAGCTTAAAGATGCCCTTTTAGATCTTCCAGAAAGAAGTGTTCACAGAAAAAAAAAGAAAAAAGAAGTTATAACAGATGCTGGCTCTGTGCATTTTGGCAAGCAAGAGTGGTAGCTGCCTGGCCCTAAACTGGATCCTTCCAAACTGTTCTAGCACCATTTGCTGCTATTTAGCATGGAGTGACCTAAGGAAAATTTAGGTTACTACAACCAGCTTTGAACACCTCATCTGTTGCAGGTAGATGAACAGTAAGTTTGGTTTGCTGCCAACTTGCCTGCAGAATGAGTCTTTTAGTACAGGTACAAACAGGGAGATGAGAGGGGGAAACCCAACAAAAAACCCACCCAAAACAAAACAATGAAAGAAAATTATTTTGTGACTCATCAGCTGAACCTCCAGAGGATCTGTTAGAGGGAAGGATCAAGGGCCACACTTCCTGCCAATCAGCAGAGAAAAACCATGCAAGCTGTCCATTCCTGCTCACCCATCTGAACACAGAAAGACAGTTTGGATGGTTACAGTCCACCTTTGGAGGATCCTTCTGAACATTTCAAACCAATGAAAGGGTAAAACCAGAGCAGCTACTCACTGAAGGGTCAAGTGAAATAATTCTGACAGTGTTGTCCACCAGTCCAACAGCAAGGAACCGGGAACGCTGCTCCCCAGGGGGAACGTTGGCCAGGCTCATGCAAACGACATCAGCAGACATCTCCTTTCTCTCTGTGTACTCATTCAGCTGTCCTGACTGAGAGAAAAATGTAAGACTTACTAATTGGATACTTTGTTTTTAAACGACGCTTTGGATTTGTTATATAAACAGTATCACAATTTTTAAACAATTTACAAACCCATGCCTCACTCTTCCAAACTCATTCACAACATTAACACACATACCGGGTCCATCTCAAAGTAAACCAGCTCTCCTCCAGTCAGGGCTATGACTACTTGTCTTTGGTTCACAGCACATTTTACAATGGTTTTCTTCCCTGGTGTCTTCCATTCATTTACTCTTTTATCTGCTCGGATGTGCCGGATCCCATCTGGATAAACCTGAAGGAAAAAAAAAAAATCACCACATCAATTCTGTATTTACCATCTCTTCACAACTCCCCTTTCACTGGTGGTTCTGACTCAGCAGCAGTCAAAGGTAAGAACCACTCCTGGCAGCCAGTGATCTGAACTATGCACCAAGCTGAACCAGCAGGATGATTCTTGCCAGCTGGGAGAACTCCATCTTTCAACCACAGCAAGGAACTACTGAAGGAGATTATGACCCTTTTGAACTTGTCCAGTTTCACTTAGCAAGATATAAAAAGGGAAAGGCTGAATCAGCATCATTCTCTGCCAATCCACACCTTTAGACATGTGTTGCACTAATGCAGAAATCACATCTGTGCAGCAAGCTGAGAGTGGCAGACAGTAGACATGTAAGTAGCAGCTTTCCATTACCTGCACCAAAGCATCATCACCAAGAAGGGAGCAGGACAAGGTTGGTGTAGTGCCCAGGAATCCAGAGTCAGTCACTTCCTCTACAGTCTCTCCGATAGACAGCACCAGTGTGGCATTTACGAAGGACACGATAATGTAGGCATCAAATTCATCTGGTCAAGGGAGACAGGGAAAATAAGCAGAGTGCTGATTAATTAAAGGCAAGGCTTCCCAACACAATCAGCAGACAAATGTCTAGCAGTTACTCCTCAGCAGAATTCCTGTGATAATTACAGCTGCTGACAGTATTGCACAAGTTCGCTCTAGGACACGCTGTCCAAAAGCCAGCCAGTGCCGGACTCCAAACAATGCAGCCCCGAGCCAGGATCCAACCAAGATCCACATCCACAGTCAATTCATAATGCTCTGCATTCTGGCAAGCAGGATTCTTGTCTATTTTTTACAAAGAATGCTCAAGTTCTCGAAGTTTTTAAGACAGTTTTCCCCCATCACCCAAAGAGATGAATCCAGATTTAACACCCAACAAAGTCAAACTAAATTATGTACTCCAAAAATTTGAACATAAGGAATCTATCAGCAGAAACCACACCACAGATGTTGCACACAGGAGGTTACAGGACCACAATCTCTATCTAGCAGCCACACAATTAAAGGCTGCAGAGAACAATTAGGGTGCATTGCAGCAGAATTCAGGGTTAAACCTGCTCTACTGTCCTCCAGAAGCTCAACTGGCTTCCATTCACACTGTGAGAGTCTCCTGGGATAAGAAACAATTACATTTTTAGGATAGTTGAAATACTGTCATTTATCCCAATAGAAGTAAAGGTCAGTGTTTGCTCTATTATCTCCAGTACTGGATTCTCCCAAAGGGGACAGCATGGGAGACTCCTGTAGCTTGGACATGGAGGAGCTATGCTAATCAAAATAATCTTAAGAGCTTATTTGGAAATAGGGAAACTTTGTGGGAAATGAGGGTAGTAGGACTGGGAAAGCAAAAATTCTGCTTTCACTCTGCAGAAAGCAATAGGTCTTAAGAAGGGAAGAGGACAATCTCATTAAAAAAGAATAACAAAAGCAACAGAAACAATGAAGTCTATTGGGAAATGGAGCCAGGAGCCTTGGAAGAGAAATAAGATTGCCTCAGAGAAGCAACTCCACTTCTACTGCTGTTGTCATGCAGCTGCTATTTCTTAAAAAGAAAATTCCTCATTTTAACCCAACTCAACCCAAAGCTCAGACTTAGGTACCACAGTGTACCTAGTGGAGGTGAAGGCATAAGAGCTGTCAGTTTCTGCCCTTGAAAGGAGACTCTCCATAATTTTCAAACACAGGAGACATGGAGAAGTGGTTAATAACTTTAACAAAAAAGGAAAATAAGTAAGTCTCACTGGGATGGAAACGGGATGCCACAAAATACGATGCAGCAGCTTAAAGAACCCGAGCTGGGTTAACCAAAACAAATGCTTTAAGAACTAATAATTCTTTTCTTATCCACCCTGTTTAGATGGAAGCATTGCCAAACCTGCTGTGTCACGTTTATAACAAAAAGTTCTTACATACAGTTGAAAATATGCAAGTGAAAAATTAAAAAAACTCCCCATCATTCTTCTCTGCAACATCTGGTACACAGACCACAGCTCTGATCAAACTGAAGAGTTCTGTGTAACTAAAGCAATTTCAACAGAAGTCTGTGGCATAAACTGTTACTACTCTATTAACTGCTCACAGCCTATAACCTCCAACAGCTCCAAAATCCTACAAAGAGGAACTGGTCCATCTGGGGAAATGAGAAAGCAAGAACTCAATCTGCAGAGAGAAGTCCATCAGTAGCACCAATGATTTGAATGCTCGGCTAAACAGGAGAACTCCTCCAACATTAACAGCAGATGATAAGAGCTCAGCAAGACACACTTGCACACCACTTATTTTCTACACAGCAGCTTCTCCTACAAACTTGCACAGATTTTTCAACACCAGAAGTCGACAACAATTCCTCGATCATGGAGTTTCCAGCAGTTCACAGGCTAAGCATTTGATTCATAAATATCCCATAGACAGGATGTTCTAAGAATTCCATTTCAAAGACCACTGTTGCTTTCCAAATTACTTCAGAGCTGCTGCCTTCCTCCCTGGGGGCTGTCAATTCTCATGATAAACCACTGTGTCCCAGCTGGAAGCTTAAGCATGTGATTTGGCATAGGACAAAGAACTCCCATCTGAAAACAAAACAGATTTCCTTAGTCCTATCTAAACCAAAACTCATTCCTACCTCTTAATACTTTTTAGCTCTTTCTTTCCATTGGCTTACATTTATATTAGAGCATGCCTTTATGTCAATAATAGTGACAAGTGCATTTCTGCTTGAAGTCTGTTTTGCTTAATGACTCTCTGCTGGAGCTTTTGAAATAAAAGGTTTGATTTACCAGAATTAAGTCAGTGAATAAGACACATTCATTTAGGTTCAAACAATACATTTTTGGTTTAGAAAATATAGCAGTCTAGTTGAAATTAAGAAGACTAAATCCCTAGGGCACACTGAGAAGTGTTCTCAGTTAGAAAAAGAAAAGAGCTACGGATTTTAATATGAAAAGATGTCTACTTAGCTCTGCATAATCCCAAGCAAAACATCAGGCTCCCCAGAGTTTTGAACAGATAGACATTATTTTGTATGCAGACACAAGACTTCAGAGATGCTTATTACAGTACTAATTGCACCAGTCAGCTCCTTTCAGTGAATAACAGAGACATTTTAATGACTCTGAAGAGCCACAGCTGGACTCGTTCTCCTACACATGCATTACAAGTTTTCTGCAGCTTCATGCAAACATCACAAACAGTTATGAAAACATGACATTTCAGTCCATGAACTCTACACTACTGTGCTTTTTATTATTTATCATGGATTCAGTTCGAGTTAGTCCATGAGAATTCCATTCTTATATGCCAGTCCAGTCCTGGCCGTTTTCTCACACTCTGAAACATCTGAATTTGGACTGAGACAAATGCAGTCACCACGAGCTCAGAGGAGCTCAGGGAGCAAAGTGGTGAGCAGTGTCAGAGCTCAGGATCACTCTCAGTTAGCAGACTCTGAGGGGATGACAGCACATTTTCCTGGGCTTCTGTTTACTACAGCGTGGCGACTCCGCAGCGCTGACTCACGGCACGCTGTGTGCAGCAGGAGTGCCAGGTAGGGAATGCTGGCTCCCAAATCCCAAATCCCATCTGTCAGCACAGCACAGCACACACCTACACCCACTGATCATTCCACTGGAATAGCTTGGTGCAAATCCTACCCACTTCTGTCTCACAGGCAGATGAATCCCATAACCACAGGACATTCCCATGCCAGCAATACCTATAACTGCTCCAAGCACACTTGATCTTTTTCTATTGGAGGTCTGTACAAAGCAGCTGGAAGCCTAATCTTGGTCTACAAGAGAGCTGAAAATACCCCTAAAACACACACATCCAATTTTAGCAAGAACTGACTGTTCCACAGAGACACAGCTGATTGTTTTGCTTCCCAAGGACTGCAAGATGGACTGGGATCTGCTTTCTACTCCTCAGCTACTCAACTTCAAAGGCAACAATCTTCAACTACACACCAGTTTCTAGAATTTGTTTAGTGAAGTGCTTAGCATCAATGCAGCCCCATGCTGTTGGGATTCTCTGTGGTTAACCTGTGGTACTGTACAGTAGCCCCTAGCAGTAGGTACACACCTGTGGTGATCAGCACCTCCACCACCAGCCACCTGTGGAAGAAAAAAAAAGGCTTGGTATTGGTAGTGAGTATCACCACGTACCAGCCAAGGTTAGTATTTGCTTTGAAGACTGCAGACCTGGGTGTTTCTTGCAGAGGCCTTGCAGCACACACTGCAACACTGAGGCAGGGCTGGGCAACCCCAAGCTGCCAAGTGTGCCCTCAAGGGCACTTTAAAGATTACATACATGTTTGAAAATGTTCTGCACTCTTTCTGATTAAAACCTACTAAAATAATTTCTGAATTCCAAGAACTGGAACTTGGGAATCAGTTTCACAAAACAATAAACAGTGAGTAGCACAGCTTAACAACTACAGATTCCAGCCTTTCTGAATCATGGAGGTGATCATGCTGAAATCTGGAAAATTTGGAAGAGGGAAAGAAGAGAAGGCAATGAGACTGGTCCTGCTTCCTGCAGATTATCAGTGGTCCTTCACCTCCTGAAAAGTCAAAGTCTTCTTCTGGAATCCCAACAGAAAAGATTTTAAAACTGTAAGGTGATGTCAGAAGCCTCCAGTCCTCAGAGGGAGAAAATCTTACTAACTTCTTTTCCAGAGTGCTGGAGAAAAGGTTTCCAACAAACTGGAATGCCTCTTTTCAGAAAACCATGCATTTTTTAATATCAACTGTGGAAATACTTTCCTTTTGACCCTTTTACCTCTTGGGGACATGAAGGCACTTTATGCTCAAAGTTCCTCCCTTGTTGCTTAGACAGTACATGAATCTCAGGACATGAGCACAGGAATTCATGGCAGGTCTCACTGGCAAGGTAAATCCCACTGCAGGATTTGAAATTCCCACAGGGTTACTGGTTCTCTGGAAGACACACTACTCTGCTTAAATGCAAGGAGTCATGTCAGCATAGCAGGCTAAAGCCTCTACTGCAACAATCTGGCCTTTCCAGATCCCCTGTATAAACCTAGAGGAGTCTTTGTGAGAGTTATACAAAGCACTGCTTGGGAAACAATCCCTGACACTGCCAGCACCCAGAACAGATTCCCTACAAGCTGTTTAGGTGTTTCTGTGCAATTCTGCTCTCACCATAAAGAGAAAGGCAGAAAGTGCTACATTTTCTCTTGTACATTAGTAATAGCAAGGCTATTATTTCAGATCACAAAATTAAAAATAAACCCCAACGACCAACCAAACCTCCAATCCAGTATATTCTGCCAACTTGAAATCTTAAATCTCTCTGGAATCACAAACCTTGTACACACTGCTGGCTTTTGAATAGAGAGTATATCCTAGTCCAGAGTGGTTTTTTCTCAGATATGCACAGAAGAAAGTAATAAAATGCAAACACTGTTGCTGATTTATCATCTTTGTTCCATAATTTGTATCCCACTCTCTCACAAAGAGCTGATTACTGCAGTTGTCAACACACACATGAAGAATAGTGAGTACAGTCCAACAACAAGAATAGCTGTTGCCTGCTGATGTTTGAGCAAGAACTTATGGGCAAAAAACTTATGGGAAGTGGGAATGCATGAGAAATTCAGCAGCTTCAGGCTGCAAATGTACAGCTGACACAGCACAGTGGGTGATGGATGCAGCTGCAGGCAGCTGATTCTTTGTCAAAAGGAAGTGTGACAATACAAGGGGACCAGAGGGTGGGTGGCTTTTTAAGATAAGCAGGTGGCTGCTGACTCAACCCACAATTTTTGAGGATGGCACACAAGCATCATGCAGCACCATTCCTATCTCCTTGGACAGAAAACAACAACAAACAAACCACACACAAAAACATTATGACTTCCCTGTGCTTCAGGAAAATACTGCATACCTTCAACATGTCTCCTCACAGTCCATACAGCATTGGGGTTACCAGGCAGCTCTGAGACAGCCATTTCAGATACCTAAGAGTAAACAGGAAGAAGGTTCTTTTGCAAACAGATGTTTACACTTTACTAGAGTAAGCAATCAAACCACGAGCAGTTTTTAAGCTTTCCCACAACTGGGCAGAAAAACTAACAATTCCCAATTCTGATGCTCTCAGCCCATGCCAGATGTGCTACAGGGCAAAATATGGTCAGCAATGATATGGCAACATTATTGCTGTGGATGAGCAGCTTCAAAACAAAGTCATCCACCCCCAGCAGAGAGCAGCAGCAGCTGGCAGACACCAGGAATGTTCCAGCTCAATACACTCAAGTATTAGAAGAAACAAAATGCAGGTTTTGTTGAAGTCAAGTAAACAAAAAGCTTTTGAGACTGTAAGAATAAACAATACAACCCTTCTATTCCTCAAGAAACAAGAGAAAGTAGCTCTCCAGACTAGAGCAAAAGGACAATTCCCTCATTTCAGCAACTTTGTTTCAAGGATTTCCTTGCACTGTCCTCATTTCTCAGTCTTTTCTCCTGAAGTGTTGGATGTCTTACCTCAAGCCCATGTCTCAAAACCCTCAGGGATGACCTGGGCCCCCGACCACAAGCCACATACAACTGGGGTGTGTCTTCATTGGCCAAATCTGCTATCTGTGTGGAGAAAAAGTGTCAAAACAATGTCCATGGAACGAGAAAATAAAACTATAAACATATATATATCACACTACTGCTTTAAGAATGTTCTTTCAAACACCAAAAGCTGTGGAGATGCCATGGGGTGTTCCAGCTGCTGCCCTGAATGTTAATTTTTACTGAAACTCTTTGCAAACAGCTAGTCTGATGGTCAACAGAGAAGCATCACAGAATCACTGGCTGACACCTGGTGTTCAGATATGCATTTATTGCCACAGGAATCAAATCTACCAGGCCAGGTACCAATCTCAGGCAGCTGTCTGAGAACTCTGCAGATGTGCCTCTCCATGAGTCTTTACCTGGAGTCTTTTCTGGAAAGCTGGAATAGCTTAGCTGCTGACTCCACTTACACATGTGGCAGACAGGAACTCTCTGTTAGCAACATACCTGACAACACAGAATAGGAGACAAACTGTCCAACTCATCCACCAGCACCAGGTTCTTCAGAGGTCGGGGCTGGAAAAAGAATGTGTCTCCTTCCTCAAGAGGCATGGCAGAGGAAAACTCTGGCTCCTCATCATCATCCCCCAGGTGAGCTATCTGGTACAGGTAACTTGAGACAGAAAAAAGTGTGTCAGCATCTTCAGAGCAAGGTTCATGGAGCCTACTTTATGTAAGGCTTAACCAGATATTCAGATAGTGGGGAAGAAAGAAATCTAACCCATTATTCCATTATTCAGTTATTAATATTTGGCTTTAAGGATTGTCTTCTGGGTTACAAAATATTAAAAAAAAAAAAAAAAAATCAGAGGCCTGCAACGAAAAAAAACCCCGAAAACCCATGAACAAGAAATCCCCCCACAACCTCCCAGCCTCAGGCCTTCACATTTGCAGCTGTCACTGGCAAGGTATCCCAGAGTTTCAGTATTTTGTTTACTCTTGAGCCTTTTAGATATTCTTGTGTTTAAGCCAAAGCAGCAACTGACAGCTGAGGCCAAATGCAAGGCCAATGGCTAGGACTTCATCTCCACATTTATCTATTTTATTGGAATACTCTCACCTTTTAAATCATACTATTTTAACCACATTCCCTATTCCAATTTATGAGCTCAATAAAAAAACAAATAAAACTTCAGAGAAGAAAAAAAAATCCCACAGAAAGCCAGAATGAGTTACTTCCTGGTTTTAATAAAGCTCAAATATGGCTTCCTCAATTCAGATTCAGTCCAGCAAACTGGCTGGGGCTCCCTCAGGTGGCTGACTGCAGATACAGTCAGAAAAATCTCCATCCTGTGAATCTCTCCCTCAGACAGAGTTAAGCTAATCTTCAAAGGTGTGCATGATCATTTAGAGTATTTAGAAGTCCAAACATGAATTAAGAGAAAGCCCTCAAGTATACATCTAGTAAGAAAAGGAACACAACTACTAATAAGAAAGCCTATTTACTTCTGAGTAGGCCATACACATAAAAATTCAAAACTATCAAACTAATTGAAAAGATAATTCATCTGATATGTGATGAACCCTACATAAACAGCAAGTGCTCAATTTTTCCAAAATCTGCTGCAACAGCAAGTAACCTTTTGTTCTCTGCACTTCATCATCTAATCTGAGTTCAAACAGCAAGAAAATTCCCCCATTCATAGTCTAATCCAATTATTCTTCTCAAGCCCTCTGAACAAAGCACTAAGTTACCCATTAAATCAGAGGTGTTGGCTTTCTATGCACAGTAAGTTCAAGGGTCAGTCTGCAGGCCTGAACAGAACCACTCTGCTTCAGGGAAAAAACACTGATGTCAAATTGTTTACTCACTGGTTTCCAAATTCAGATGCCACAAAGAGAAATCCTGTTTTCAGAACACACATGGCAGCAGCAACAGGAACAGTGTCAAAGTACTTCAGTCGAATCTCTGTTACCTGAAAGCAGATGAAGATGTGAATATGATGCTGAAGTACTGGAGCTCCATGTGTGATTTAATAACAAACATCTGCCTAGCCATCTTCTCCAAAGAAATGAACAAGAGCAGGCCAGACTTAAAACATCAGTAGTTTAGGGCACCAGGTTATAAATCACAAAATCCAACAGATTATTTGAACACACAAACCAGGCTGTCTGTTTCATTCCAAGACTTTCTGCCTTTTGTAAATCAATTTGGAAAACAAAAGCTGTAAAAATGGCAAGCTGCCTAAGAGAAATTTGCTTCACTGAACACCACCAGTTCTCCACCATTAGAAAAACAACTGTCCTAAGCAAATTTCTAAATTTGATATGGTCACAACAGCTGTTGGTGAAACATCCAAGAACAATCTTCAGGCACTTGAACATCACAGAGTATTCCATGCTGGAAGGGACCAAAAAGGATTATCAAGGCCAGCTCCTGGCTCTGCAGAGAGCAACCCCAAAAATCACACAATGTCTGAGATCATTGTCCAAACACTCCTTGAACTCTGGCAGGCTTTGTGCCTGCTACACAGTCATCCCCTGTACCAAATATGACATGTTTAGATGGAGAAATTAACATTCAACATTTACTCAAAAAGCCCAACCAATCACACGGCAGCAGAGAACTTTTCAGAGAATACTAAAACAAGCAGCAGCAAGCCACTGCAAGCCTGTTATTTCAACTCACAGACCAGCTGTGCCAAGCTAACTACCTCATCTTGCAAAAATATTGATTGCAGCATGTAAACAGCCAATCAAGAGACTGGAGGGTACTTGCTGAAATCCAGGGAAGCTAAGTTCCACAGAATAAGTTACTGAAATACTCTCCAGGAGCTTCATGGACCACAGTTTATATTCTTTAAAAAAAAGACCACCACTAGAACATTTTAAGTATGATCAAATGACTGCAGTTTAATCCTCAGAGGATTTTGCAAACCTTGCACCGTGTCTCTTTATGAGTAATACCCACAGTGGCGACCAGTGTTAACTCTTTTACAAATCACATAAAGCAAGTTCCCTTACACAGTTAAACTCACAACAGTAAAAATGTATCACCTTAGGGAAAGTAACTAACTAAGAACTCCTCTCAATTCATGCTTCTGCATTCAGGTGGTGCTTACCATGTCTTCATCAGTCTCCAGAGTAATTTTGAAGATGTCTCCCTGCTCTGTCTGGGCCAGGAAGAAGAACATGGACTTGGTCTTATGTGTAGCAGAGCAGACAAAGATCATACCCCTCTCTGGATCATCCAAGTCATTCTGTCAGGAAAGACAGTGGAGGTCATTGGTGGAATTACCTGACAAGCACAGAGGTGATTTCACTGACTGAAGTATTTCCATTTCACAGGTCCTTAAGAGCTCACAGTATGTAAGAAGGTTTTTAACACAAAGCACATCTCTTTGTTACACCTGTAGTCACCCTTGGTACATCTCTGCCCCAGAGGGAAATACAGCTGTGAGACATTGTGCCTAAGCATCATCCCTCATCTGTTTTACTTTCCTCTCTGGGCAACTCTCACATATCAAAGCCCAAAACACAGGAAAGGGCTGTAACTCACACACAGCTGGTTTTGAGCACCTTGGCAGATGTTCAAAGCACTGCATTCCTAATACCAAAGGGAGAGGAAGCAGCCTTAGATGCAACAGAGCAGCTGTTGAATTTACCTGCAGCTACAACTGCCACTGTTCAGCATCTCAAGTAACCCTACCTTGCACTGACAGTGCTGCCTGATCAGAGTCTTTGGAGTATCTCCAGTATAAATCTCAGAGAAGAGACATGAACCACACTCATCACTTCAGGCTATGCCCACCTCCATCCTCCCTCTCAGATAACACACAGCCAGTGAGGCAGATAAGCCAACATGTTTTTAACTCATTTTTTTCTTACTTTAAAACCTTTCTGGTGCCCTTAACCTTGAAAGGCAAATTCCAAGCATTCATAATCTTAAAAAATTCTCACCCGTCTCCTGGGAATTGGGCATCTGATATCAGGCTGGTCACCAAAGTTTTTGTAAGTAATGTAGTTTTCAGAACAGATCAGCACCCCACTGGGGCCATCAGAACCACCAGGAACTGAAAGAAAATTATTAGGAGAAAAGCCTTTACCATAGATGTGAATGGTTGCCTGCAGAACATTTGGTTTTCTTTAATGCAGCACCATTTCCAACACTCTCCATCACCCTGCATATATGAATCTGCTCTTACTGAAAAGACAAAAGACTGAGTACAACTGCCTGTGCCACCATGAGAACAGGGCAGATGGAATCAGGGATCTGGAAGGATGCAGTTTCTGACAAATTGCTTAGGTTTTATCCTTCCTGGCTTTTTATTGTCTAGAAAGCCATGACATGCCCAAAATACTACACTAGCAACTTGTCAGATAAACACAACCTTTCAGTTTCTGGTATGTTTGCTTCTAGAAAAATCCATAAGATGGATTAACATCTTTAGTTAACAGAAGCATTTCTAAAGCCATACTTTGTGATCTCAGTGTAACAAATCACATCATCAAACAGATTCAGCACAATACTTGGTGTCTGTCTCGCAGCTGCTTATAGGAGATGCAACAGGGCAAGCATACAAAGATGCTCTCCCAGCTCAGCACTTTTTGTGCTTGGAGAGGAACCTGCAGCAGCTTCCCTGGTTGAAGGTGTTGTATTGGCTTTGCATCCAACCCCTCCAAGTGGGCTTTTAGTCCCAGGATTCATCTACTGCCCTCAGCAGAAGGAATCCCATTAAAGAGAGTAAAATAGCATCTACACATTAACTAAGTCCTTTTGCATTGCTACCAGCTACAGGAGCACTCTGAAACAGCAGCTGCTTCTATGAATACTTGTGTATTTCCATGTGAACCACCCCTCATTACCTGACTGCAAGGTCAATTAATTAATTTATACTAATGGCTCAGACTACAATTGAAACAATTCCTAAGATATAAAGAATATTGACAGTGTTTTCCATGGGAACCAAGCAGACCCATGCAAAACCAACTCTGTGGGTGGTACCTGTTATGAGGAAGTTGCCATGCTCTTCCAGGGGCTCACTGTATTTCCTGACAACATGGTTCAAACCCAAGTCCAGTTCATAAAATGTCAATGTCTGCTGTGTGTTGGCTGCAGCTTCACCTGTTGGATCATTGTCTGCTTCCTAAAACAGAACACATGGAGGTGTCTTTGAAAAAAAGGATTAAAAGGAAGAGCAAAGCTGATGTGTTGGGAAACAGTTTTGAGCGGCAACAGAATGGGGCCAAAAGACTTGCTAGAAGCTGCACAAGAGAAGTTCAGACCAAGAAAACAGGCATATTTTCAGTTGAAAAGCAAAAAGAATCAATCACCATGACAGAAGAGACTTGCCCATTCTGGCTGAAGGCAAGACAAAAAGCCAGTAAGCCTGTAAAAAATGACAACTGCCCCAGACAGCTGAAGCAGCCAACACTCCCCAGTGACAGATGAAGAACAGAACAGGAACAACAAAGGTCAAAATACAGCAAAGGGAGATGAAGTTCTTCTCACCTCATAATCCATTTCCAGACAAGCAAACATTGGGTTTTCAAACCCCACGTCGACTCCCACCACGTGGTAGACCAAGGTATTGGCCTTGTGGGCTTCCAGAGGGGAGGAGATGGTGAGTCGAGCAGCAGCATCTCTGTTCAGGATATACACCAGCTTCTGCTTTTCAATGGCACCTGCAGGGAAGGACAACAGCACGTGAAGCCCATTCCTTGATAACCAAATCTCACCATACCTGCAGCCAAAACTGAGCTGTAACTTGGAAAGAGAACATCAGCATTACTTCAGCTGAAGTTCACCACCGGTGTTTATCTCTGTGCCACCAACTAACCTTGAATGTTTCATTGTAAATCTTTCAGATTGCAAGCACAAAATGACAACTTCAGCCCTTTAAAGCCAAAGCCTGACCCTTTGAGCTACATTCACCTGGCCCTATATTCCATCGACAATGGCTTGAGGGAGATCTACTCACTCTTTTTACCACACAAGAGATGACAAACTGCAAGGAAGCAAAGACAAACGGAAAGAAGCATCCAGATGTTCTGCTATTTAAAACCACAGAAATATTTTACTATTTTACAAACTTTTCCATAGAAATATTTTAACTAAGTAAATGTATTCTTGCCTGATATACAGCATCCACAACATAAAAAACCACCACTCAAATATTAACATGAACAGCACAACTATGACCGTGTTACTTTCTCACTAAGGAAAACCAGACATGTGAGAAAATAAATAATATTATTGCTATTCCCAGTATAAAGACATACTTGGTAAATTACCATCAGCACTGCACAGAGCTGCCTTCAGCAAACTGAGAAAGCTCCAGACACCTTGTGCTACATCTTAGCAAAAAAATTCTCTCAAGTGTCCTCCTACCTGTGAAGCCTGATCAGAAATGCATCTGGCTGTCTCCATGAGACATCTCAGAGAAGAGACATGAACTCAAAACATCATTTCAGGCCATGGGAACTGACTGGCTACACTGTAGCACTGGCACCTGCAATCCCATCCTCTCTCCCACACACCACACCTCAGGGCTCTGCACGCAGCTAAGCAAACTGGTCTCTTTCCAATTTGTTTTAGCTCAGCACTACAATTTATTTGTGCAATTCCACCAGCATCAAGGAATAATTCTGAATGCCTGTGCTCTCATTGACACAGCTCACAACCTAAAACAATTATAATTATATTATAATTCCAATTACACCTAGCAGAAATCTGCTCCAAAATAAACATCCACAAGAAGGAAGATAAAAACGTTAAGAACAGAAGGTGACAGAGAGACTTACTGATCATGACAGCGCGGCCCTTTGGGTCCACAGCCAGGTACTGGCCTGGAACGATCCTGCGGCAGCCACTCTTGCCAAAGGTCTCCTGGTGGATCTTCTCGAAGACGTTCTTGGAGGGCTGGTACTCCAGGATGACGATGCGCCCCGAGTCGCTGCCCACCACGATGTAATCCTTGGTGCCCCCCGTCAGCCTGAAGGCCATGAGGGAGCGGATGACCCCAAACACCTCCACGGTCAGCAGCGTGTGAACCTTCCCTGTGTTGGGATCGGGGCGCAGCAACTCCAGGATCTTGCCCCGGGAAACAACAATTTCTTGTTGTTTGGTTCCTGAAGAAACCAAAACACGAGCACAAGTCAGCAACAAACACACAACTTCAACAAGGGAAGAAGGGTGAACTTCCAAATACCAATTTTAGGACTACCATGAAGAAACTCAAGGAAACTTATTCACCACATTACATACCATCATTGTTAGAACAGCTTTTAACACATCAGAGAATTGGTCAGGATATTAAACTAAACCTATAGATAATTTAGATTGGTAATCAAGCCAAACTTCCCTCAATCTATCCACAAGCTACCACAGCTCAAGTAACACTCAATAACAAATGATAATGTACCAGCAAAAACCCCCCAGGGGTACCAAAGCAAATTGGTACCCAAAAAAGCCCCAAGCCAAGTCATGCAGAGGGAGGAAAAAATTACCTGAGAAATTGCCATGGATGGCAAAGCTAATGCCTGTGGCACGCTGCAACGTTAGGTTGTACAGAAACATGTTGGCAACGGAGTTGCTTCAGCTTATGTAGCTCTGGTAATTCTGCAACAAGTAACACAAAATAATAAAACTTCTCAACAGCAAAGCCTTTCACGCAGCAGAGAGAACCGCTGCCCTCCCGGTGTGCACGGATCACTTTACAGCACAGCCCGACTGCCATCGCGCTATTTGCTATTTATTAGCGCAAAAGGCTCTCCCAAGGCGTCCCGGGTGCCAGCTGAACTCCTTACTGCCGGCCGGCTGAGCAGGACTCCCAGTAATTACTGCTAATTAGTCACGGCTTTCGCTTTCCAGGAACCAAACACAATTAGGGAGCCCTCCGGGATGCCCGCGCCGTTACACATCCTTGACGCCGCCGTTTCATTGAACACGAGTGCAGCCACCCGCAGCTGCCCGGGGCCGACTCCTCGGGAGGGAACCCCAGCCCCAGCGGCCGCCCCGGCCCGAGGAAACCGGCCCTGAGCCTTGCCGAGGCCCCGGCAGGGCACGGAGCTGACCGGAACGCTCAGCCCGGGAACCGGCCACAGCTCATTGCCCGGCCCGGCCGCCCTCACCCGGCCCAGGCCCCGACGGGTCCGCGACGCTCCCGCTCCACAAACCAGGGGCCCGTCCCTGCCGCGGAGCCGCCGCCGGGCGGGCAGAGCTGCGCTCACCGTGCGGATGGCGGCGGATGCTACTCCGGCCTAGGCGGGGGCACCGCCGGCCTCCTCCGCCATCAGCGCCGCGCCTGCGCACTGCCCTCCCGCGCCTTCTCCATGGGGCTTTCCACGTGTCCGGCGCGCGCGCGCGCCCTGCGGCGAGGGAGGCTGCCCAATGCGGTGCCTGAATGATCGCGGCGCTATGGCAGCTGCCGCCTGCACCAAGAAACCCCCCAAGAAAACCCTCAGCCTCCTTCTAGCATGGAGATCTGCAGGAGCGTCAGCTTCCCTCACCGCCAGGCGGAGCTGAGCGGTACCGAGGGTCAGGCACCGCCTTTGACGGTCCCGCCGGGCCTCACGGTGGTTTCGACCGCGTCAGCTGTGTGCCAAGATGGCGGCGGCCACGGCGCCGGGACCGAAGGCGCCGCCGGGTGACAGCGGCGGCCCCGCCGCCTCCGCCCTGTCCATGGAGCGGATCCAGTCGCTGACCGAGCTGGCGGACCTGGAGGCCGCCTACAGCCGGCTGTGTGAGGAGGAGGTGTGTGCGGCCGGGCATGGGAGGCAGCGGGGCCCCGAAAAGCGGATACCCCGCTGTCACTGTGCCCCTCATTGCTGCGCACTCCCTAGAGGCGTTTGACACGGACTTAGCCGCCCCTGGGTCGGTGTCGCCTCCGCGGATCCCTGAATCGCGAGCAGCCTGAAGATTCTGGGATCTCCTGCACTGGAAGCCCAGCCAGGGGAGGAGTTTGTGGGATATCTGACTTAAAAGCGGTGTGATGAGGATTCCAAAACCGATGCTTTCAAGTAGAAAAATCATAAAGATTTAGAGGATTTAAGAGAGCTTAGAAAGGATTTATTTGTCATATGAGCTCTTGGAAGCACTAATGCCTTGTGTCTTTGGCTTGGATATAGCATCTGTGATAAACTGCTGGTCTGGAGGAGAGCTGAAGTCACATAACACCTCCTTCATTTTTTAATTTTTTTCAGAAAGTCGTGCAGGAAGAGCTGGATGCCCTCCTGGAGCAGCAAAGCACTATAGAGAATAAGATGGTTGCCCTTCATCGCATGGGGTTAGTGTTCCAACCCACTTCCTTCTCCTTGCTGCATGGCCCAGAGACTCCTGTCAGTGTTGTAGCAGAAGCACAACATCCATTCTCAGAAAATATCAGACTTTAAATCAGTTTGTGGTTGAGAACACGAGTTGGATCTTCATCCCCAGTTCTTCCCAGCTGTGCCCTCACCCAGAGTGACCTGTTTTGGTGTAGACTCAAAAGCTTTTTGAAAGTGTTATCTCAGAGGGTGCCAGGTTTCAGCATCAATTGTTGGATCAGGTGTCTTGTGCCAGGCTGTGCCAGGTGTGAACAAATATTACTGCCCTTCAGGGTGAACTTGTGCAGGCAGGCTGGGAAATCATCCTGAATGGCCTTTGTGTCTAGCAGAGCTCCAAGGAAAGGATTCCAGCCTTCATCTCCATTTCAGAAGTGGAGAATGTCCCAAGGGCCCAGTGGCTCGTTCTGCCCTGTGTGGTGGCAAGGCACAGCTGCTCTGTGCAGCCTCTCCTCCTGCTCTGCTCCCAGAGGAAGGCAATGGAATGAGTGGCAGTGTTGTGACAGGCCCAGCTGTTCCTGGAGAGACAGCCATGCTCCTTGCACAGCCCCAGGTGGTTCCTGTGTGCCTCTCACGCCCAGCTCTGTGTGTTTCAGCCCCAGCCTGCAGCTGATTGAGGGGGATGCCCAGCAGCTGGCAGGGATGGTCACCTTCACCTGCAACCTGGCCGAGAACGTCAGCAGCAAGGTCCGGCAGCTCGACCTCGCCAAGGTACGGGCTGAGGGGCTGGGGCTTGTCAGCACTCTGTGCTGTGCCAGTCTAGGGTGCTTTCAGTACCCCTTCCCCACTGTCTGTTCCTGCTTAGATGCAGGGCTGCTGTGTTTGTGTGTTCTGTGCTCACAGCACACCAGATGTGCCCTGCCTTTGGTGGGCTGGAAGCTGCTGTGGTTTTGATTCTTTTTTTGTGTCTTTCTGGGCTCCTGGGTATTGCATAGTATAAGACTGATAGAATGGTTTGGGCTGGAAGGGATCTTAAAGCTCCTCTTGTTCCCAACTCTCCTGCAGTTGGCATGGACACCTTTCACCTGACCAGGCTGCTCAGAGCCCCATCCAGCCTGGCCTTGAACACTTCCAGGGATGCTCCTTCATACATTGGCTGGTTCTCCAGCATCCCCTCCTGTCCATGTAGCTCCTGGTAGAATACCCTGAATAGAGTTACTAGCAATCTTGGCAGCTACACAGTGCTGAGGACAGTGGAGATTGTCACCAAAGCCAGGTCAGGAATCTGGGCTGTTCTATTCCTTGTCTGGGGACAGGCTGAGGGGTGTCAATGCCAGCACTTGGTACAACTGCTCAGATCAGACAGATAATGTGTGCTGTCCTCTCTGGTCTCTGCCTGTTTGTTACAGACAGCTGTGACCTCCAAGTTCAGCCTCAGTTTTGACATATACTGTTCATCCTGTGGAGCCACTGGTCTTAGCACTTTTTAAGTAGTGTGGGATTTTTGCTTATGTAGTAGTTTTTGTGTATAGAGAAGTGCTTCAGTCTCTTTTTCCCTCACACTGCCTTCTGAGAGCTCCTTCTCCCTGTCCATCCCACAGCTGGAAGCATCACTGGTTGCCTTTCTTTCAGAACCGCCTCTATCAGGCCATTCAGAGAGCTGATGACATCCTTGACCTGAAGTTCTGCATGGATGGAGTTCAGACAGCCCTGAGAAATGAAGACTATGAACAAGCAGCAGCTCACATCCATCGCTATCTGTCCCTGGACAAGTCAGTGATTGAGCTCAGTCGTCAGGGCAAGGAGGGTAAGCACTGTTTGTGAGGAGATGCTCATGAGTCACCTTTCCAATGGATACCTAGAGGCTGCTCCTTTCTCCTCTTTTCAGCAGAAAATCTAATGCTGGCCAGAGATCTTAGTATTTTATAGACTGACCTAGGGGTGAAGGTTTTTGAAGCATTATTACACCAGAATTATCATTAATTGAAAAGGGAGCTCCTGGCACACCGCTGTAATTCAGTATTTCAGGTGCTAACTAAGCAAAGCACAAAGTGTTCAGGCCAGAAGTGAGGGAGAAGGCTCTGTCAAGAATTGTTTTTGTGTCACGGTGTGCTACCAAGTAGAGCAACTGGAAATGAGGGGGTAAATTGGTAGATTCCTAAGAGGAAAATCCCAGTGGATGTGTTGTTGTCCTTCATGCAAAATCACAACATTACATCTCTCACCAGCCTGTCTGTGCCTGTAGAGGAATTCCAGTGTGTCTTCTGCCTTCTCATCTTGGGGCTGCACAGTGCTGCTCTCTCTCCTGGGGAAAAAGTAGCCCTTGATACAATACTAACATTGTGCTGTCACTTTTCTGTTTCTTTTCTGTCCTTTTGACCAGGGGGAATAATTGATGCCAACCTGAAGCTCCTGCAGGAAGCAGAGCAGCGTCTGAAGACAATTGTCACAGAGAAATTTGACACAGCAATGAAGCAGGGAGACCTGCCCCAGGTGGAACGGTTCTTCAAGATCTTTCCTCTGCTGGGCTTACATGAAGAGGGGCTGAGCAAGTTCTCTGAGTACCTCTGCAAGCAGGTAACAGGCTCTGTGACACCAAGGGGAAAGCAAAACCCAGTCTCTGTCAACAGATGTTGTGGAAGGAGACTTTGGCAGTGGCTTGTTCACCTTAGAAAATAGCACTGGCCTTAGTTCATATCTCTCCTTGCATTTGTATGCTAGGATGGGCTTTCTGGTGTCTGTGTCTTGCTCTGTGCACTTACTTAAAAATTATCAAATGAGCCTGGAAAGAGAAGAACAAGTTTCTGCCTTTCCTTGAGCCTTGAGTTTTCCACAAGAGAGAACAGGATCCCTGTTCAAAGGAGGAGCAACAGCAATAGCCCTTGCATTGGGAAGGCCAGTGAAAGCTCTCTAGGGCAAGGACAGAGGACCTGTGGGTTGAAGAATACCTTTGGGTGTTCAGCTGACTGGTCCTGTTGCCATGCAGGTGGCCAACAAAGCGGAAGAGAACCTGCAGCTGGTGATGGGGACAGACATGAGTGACCGTCGAGCTGCTGTCATCTTTGCAGACACCCTGACACTCCTCTTTGAAGGTGATCTTCCTTTCCTCCTTCCTGATTGATTGCAAATTGTCCATGATGAGACTGTCCATCAATTTAAATGCTTTCAATTTCAGCTCACAAAATGCCTTGTTCTCCTTTGAGCTACAGGTGTCTCACTCGAGGGACAGGGACACAACTGGTAGGATTTATTCTAACCAGGAGAGGGCATCACAATAAGCAAGTTTTCCTGTGTACATCTTGTACAGGCACAAAGTGCATTTGCAAAGGATTTGTTGGCTTCCTCCAGGAATCAGACTCTTCCTGTTCTCTGCATCCTCAAAACAAATGGATATTCCCTGGAGGTTTCTTCAGACTTGCAGCTCTCCAGACAAACAAATCACATCCCTTAGGGATGAGCAGCTGTTGGTGCCTCCAGGCCTGGCTCTTCAAGAAGCACCATGGGAACTTGAAAGCAGAGAAGGGAATATGAATGCTCTGTGGGAGTGCCACAGACAGTACTTGAGATCCCATGGTGATTAACCACCTTCTCTGTGAAATCTGCTCTAGTTCCAGGCTGTACCCCTGCCAAGTTACTCTCCCAGCCTGGCACCAGCAGAGCCTTCTTGCCAGTAGTGTTAAAAGCAGGGGGAGCGTTGCTAACTATTGGAGTAGATGTTTGTGAGGAGAAGGCAATATTGTAGACATCCTTCCTTGTGGATGAGCTTTTCCTCCAAGGAGTTCTTGCCTTTGCTAATGCTTGCTCTCTGCAGCAAGTGTGTGCCCAAGAGCCTTCCCTGGGCTGATTTTTCCCTGTAGCCTTGCAGGTGCTAAAAGCTGGGACTGCATTTGGGTGGCAGTTGTGCCCCCTGCCAGATTTAGCTTGTGTGGCTTCGTCCTGGGGAAGCTTCAAACCTTGTATCTTGCTGGGCTGAAGGGCAGCTGGAGCTGGCACACAGGGCATGGCAGGAGTTCTCTTTAGGGACACAGAGATGGCTTCTGCTCCAGGAGATCTG